ATCATAGTAAACACGAAATATGACACGAGAAATGTCCTTTCTGGCCCCAACACTCTCTGGTCACTATGGTAATGTTTACACGTGCCTTGAAAATAAGATAGACCAAAAATACAAAGTGCATGAAAAATACGACTCACCATCGCCGCATATTATGTAGAGTGGGCTTGGTGCGTGAGAATCTCCCGTTGAGATAAATCCATATCTTAAGTAGAACTCCTGATACTGTCTTATTAAATGTAGCCTTCTTTTTCTTGGAAGTCATAGGCTCCTCTTCTGTCTCCTGGCTAGGCCTGTACCCTTTCCCAAAGGAACTTTCCAAAGACGTTTGTTTTTTTCCTCATTTTGCTAGCACTTGAGGTTCATTTTAGCGGTAACCTATCACGTGACCGAGAAGCGCCACCTTCACTGCATTAAGAGGGACATACTGTAGACAAATACAACACAGAATCCGGTAATTCTTTCAAAATAAAACACATTCAGATTCCGAAATGAATAAAACGGAAGTAATGTAAGTTATTTAGTCTTTCTGTGCGGCCCGGCACCAGATGACCCGCGGACCGGTACCGGTCTGCAGCCCGGTGGTTGGGGACCACTTGCTTTAACCCACATTCCACCCAAGAATGAAAATGGTAGTAATCTTGTCTTTTAGATCAACTAACATGGACAATAACAAACAAAAATGCAGTCTGCCTTATTTTTTTAACTTCTACAATACCTTATACAATATATTCCACTGAAATGACTTCCTCAAGATGTCTTCTTTTAATAATTGATATGGGGTGGATTTACTATCGTGAACTCTGCCTACCAGGATTGAAGTGAAGTAGAAGTGGGAGCTAACTGATGAAATCAGTGACTCAATTATGACTGTTCTGTGTCATTTTCTCCTTACATGTTCTGATTCGGGGGTTTTTTTTTTGTTTTGTTTTGTTTTTTTGTCTTCTTCCCTGCACAAAGACACTGGGCACCCCCTGCCAGTGCCTCACTGGTCTCTCACATACACACACACACACACACACACACACACACACACACACACACACACACACACACACACACACACACACACACACACCCGTACCTATGTTGTCTGTGCTAGCTGTGACTCCACTTCCAATTACTTTGCAGCTATGGCAGCAGGACCCTAAATAGGTTGTAGCACCAAACAGGCATGTCTGCAACAGATCACACAGTGGGAGGGAGGTAAAAAGAGTAAGAGGGAGGGAGGACGGAAAGAAGAACGATTTGCTGGAGAGGAGATGAAGAGTGAAAATGAAGAGGATGAAAAAGGCATTAATGTTTGGCTGAGGAAGAAGACGGGAGAGAAGTGTCAGGCAGCCACGAGGAGGAATAAAGATATGATGCCAGGTGGAGGAAGAGGAGCAGAGAAACAGAGCAGATTTCCTTGTGTTTGTTGCTTGATAACAGTGTGAACTGGTGAAGAGTGGGAGATGAGCGAGAGGAGGATAGGAGGGGGAGGGGGGAGGAATGGAGCAAGGAATGAAAAGTGAAAATGAAGGCCAGTGGTGGGTGAGCATGAAAAGAAGTTGTCATTTTCTTCCCAGCTTAATGCAAAGACAGAGGAAGCCTAATGCAATGTACAATTGCTGTTATGCAACAAAGATTTTTCAATATATTATTAATGTATTTTCAGGCAACTGTACAATATACATTCATAAATAAAAAAAATTGGAAAATAAATGCAGTCTCAACGTGGCATCTTGACGTCATGGGTAATTAAAGAAAAAAAAAACTTTACTTTATATTAAGCCTGGATTGGCATGCTTGTGTACCTACATATCATTAGTCTAATTCCAGAATTGCCTCCGCCATTTTAACTTATTTTCATAATGTCAATGAAAACTATGTGCTTGCTAAACAAAATAGTAAGAATGCCTGTTGTCTCAACGAAGCATTTCTCTCTACAAAGGGATGTAACGATAACAGCGATATCGTGTTGCCACGATATTTAAATTGCCACGATATCGTCGTCGTCACACTTGATTTCAAATCCTTAGATGTCTCTCTGCTCATAAAAATACAGAGCAGATTGAAGTGACATTAAACAGGATTACATCACGTGTCGATGTTATTTCAAATATCTGAGCGTCTCGGGCCTCTCCCGACACCGTTGAGTACGATTTGGGTTACACAATAAATGTCAACAAGGACTACAAAGGTGTATCAAAGCATGTGTGACATATACTGGGCGACGTGAACTCATCTGAAGGTCATGCTGTTGAGAATCAAAATGAAAGTATTAAAAAAAAAAAGTTACAATAGAAAATAGGTATTTGTACCACACCGAAAACAAAACAATCCAATGAGAATAATTGGGAAATCTCAGCGCATCTAAAAAGATATTCTCGTAACTTTAACGCCGGCTTGACATGCATAGTTACATTTCAAAAGCAGGCATAGCTCTCAACGGAGCTTCACTCCATTCACTCACCATTTGCTTTTTCAGAAAGTCATTTATGGATGGTGAATGGCTTGATAAGTTGATAACATACAAACTATTCTGATCTTTCCAGCTTGAAAATAATGCAAAATGTCCAAATAATGCTCTTTCTATTATTTTCACTGAGTCCACAAACACACACCTGACTTGAGGTGGCCATCTATACATTGGACACATTGCAGGCTGGGTTCTACGATGCCTTCAATCGTGCCTCATCATGTAGCCTCGGTGGTCTGCATAAACCGTGGTGAATCTGGACACCACGTGCGGTCGAGTTGTGCCGGAAGTGACGTCTTACGGCCGAAAATGTGAAACTTCAGGTGACCCAGACTGTGAATTTGGACACATGTGCATGTCTAAGTGCATTAGCCATACTTGGCCAGTAGGGGGCATACCAGACAAAAACTACCTTACTATGGTCAGGAGATGAACTACAGCAAATGTACAGCTTCTAGAATTATTCACCTCACGTATCATAATCAATTACTTTTTATTCCCATAGCCAATAATTAAATACAGAAAACAAAACAGCATTTGCACACGCATCAATTTGCCAATACATAAGACTTGGCTAACCCCTGTTACTTTATTTTTATCTCACACTTAGGCTACATTGAATTTTGGTATATGGATTACAGCTTTCTAGGAATGGCCCATGGAGGAAGAGATGATGTGTGAAAAAAAAAAATCAAACTAATGACAATCAAATTCAAACATTTAAATGTGATGCAGGTGTAGTTACAGGTAAGCCAAGCTTTCTGTTTTGACAGCGAAAGTGACTTCTCATCTCAAGTCCTGGGCGGAACACGAAGCAGCAGGAGAAAATGTGCCCTGGTCAGCTATATTTATCTCCACCTCTTCTCCTCCATCAGCCAAAGTGAGTTTGACTTTTGACAAAATAAAAGCCTGTAAACTCCTGCTCCTCTTTGCCACCATTTTGCCAATCTTTGAGACGGCGCGAGTCTGTCCGTGTCTCCATATTTTCGGCATGAATCTCTTGTGTTCCTTTTTGACACGTGTGGGCGGTTGTCTTGTCTGTGTGTATGTAGGTAAGTGACTGCTGCCGTGTGTGTGTGTGTGTGTGTGTGTGTGTGTGTGTGTGTCCATAACCACTTCCACACTCTGCATCACCATTCGTCTCAATTTAACAGCGCTCAATGCGCGACTCCCCCCTGCGCTCGCGTTGAGCGTGTGCAGCCATCAGAGGCGAAAGATATATAAATCATTGGTAGGAGATTACTGCTGTTTTATTATTCATGATGCAGGCCTTTTATTGCCACTGATATTTATCTCTTCACTATCTGCCTTGACCTGCAAGAGAAAAAGGGATGAGGGAGGAGAAAGAAAAGAAGAGGGTGGGCCAAGTCCGTGCATGTGTTTGGAAAAGGGGTGGGAGGATTTCGCTGATGTGCACATAAATACATTTGTTAAGTGGGCGGGTATGGTTGGGAATTAGTGTGCACATTACCTTCGCCTTTCCTATGCATGTAGAGTCGGAGTCGCATAAAATGTTTAAGTGGTGAAGACAAAAGCAAAGCAAAATAGCCCTCAGGGCAAGTTTAACTTGGCAATTGTCCTTTTAGTGGACTCCTTTTGGAAATCGGAATTATTAATTTACTTTCATAATTCTATTCAAATAAGTGGGGTCGCTGCCACCGGTGGTCATGATAACAAAAGAGAGGCTCACCCTGGTCTGTGCTCCGTCTTGTCAAACCACACAAGGGCCGATGAATTGAATTGGTGCCATTTGTGGTCTTGGGACGTAAAACGTATGAATGCACAATTGTTTTCTTCTTTGGCTTGCCCTCACCGGCGGCATTTTTGGGAAACAGTGTTCCAAAATGTGTAAGAAAAAGCTAAATACATTTCAAAAGTTGATCATTTGGGTGATTAGTGGGTGACAAAAGATAGGATTGACGTCTTGTGAGGTATGCAAAGTCTTGTGTGACACGTTTGTTTGAATTTTGCGGCACCTTTGTCACAGTATTTTACTGATGTATATTGATCCTCTAAGTAAATAGTCCATGAGTGCTATCGTGTTTGACATCACGCCTGACCTGACAAGACATCATACAGTCATACAAGGGATGTTGAAAAAAGAACAGGCTGAGAATAGAATGTAATCCAACAAAATATGAAATAGACTGGCTGTCAAGGCACCTGCTCTGTCCCACTACTTTTGTCCAGCATGGCCGATAGAAACAATAGCTTTTACACTTGTATGATAGTTGGCAATGTTAAAACGTTACCATGGGAACGTTTTAATGCTGAGTTTTATCTTACAATTGATTTTTCTAATAATATAAAATCATTTGAAATCGGAATACTTTGTGTTCATACCGTAGTGACAAAATGAATCGAACAACTAATGAACAAATAAAAAAGTTACTGTTTTGGTTCACCTCTGGTAATTTAAGCTTTCATAAATCGTCTATCTCCCCCACCAAGCAGTCTCTTTAGACGTTTGAAGAATTCTCACAACTTGGTAAAAACGAGGCAAAATGCACCAATGAATCAATTTCTTGCTCGTGAACCTTGCTTACGAAAAAGTGAACCTTGAGTTTCTTTCACATTATACAACACAATGGAGACTGGAATGACAAAAAGAAACCCTTGAATGTCTGGACTTCAAAAAAATGAAAACATATTGAGTTGAAACATCTACAGGTCTCTATTACGCCATCATCCGTGGACCAGGAAAGAAAGTTCAATGTCACTTGCCATGTCGAAGCTTACAGCACCATCTTGTGGCTAAAGGTGGTAAAAGGTTTGACTGTATAAACTGAATACAAGTTGTTTTTTTTCTTCTTTTTCTTTTTCATGAACCTATGATGAATGGTCACGTCATTTCGAAGCTGTTGTGTATCTCTACTTGTGGCACTTCCGAAATAGAAATCATTAAATTACTCATTGATGACTTAAAATAAATCCGGCTCTCGGGGCTCTTCATCTAAATATTTCTTCTTTATCGTGCATCTCATTTCAAGGGAGCTGTGCTGAAAGTTTGTTGATAGAATATTATAGCACCACACGTATTCCTTTCCAACTATAAATTGCTGTCCCTCTGTTGATTCCGTTATTCAGCAATCATCCAACTAAATTGACAATTAAAACGCGTTACCCAGACAGCGTTAATATGTTAACGCAACACCATAATGTAGGAATGAGCAACACAATTTTCCTATGTTCAATTGCCTGCAGACTTTCTTTTTGCTGTGTCTTGCACGGTACTACTTTGGCCAAGCACACTTGGCCAGCCGTGTGAGCTGCAGCGCCTTGGCGTGCACGTGGCCGATGCCCCTGTTGTGCCTGCAATCTACAGTATCCCACTGATCGAGTATTTGTTGACCAGTATAACGGTCTCTAATTATATTTTGTGAAAAGATGGCTGTGTGTATTTGGAATTATATTGGAAGAATTCAGGAATTAGGGCCCATAAAAAATAAAGAAAAAATGCTAGCCTGGAAAACAACTGCCATTTGAGAGTTGCCTGAATTACCCAATGGCTACTAAACCCTTGATCAGAACACAAATCACTATGCAAGCTAGAGGATAAAGATAGAGTATGTAACTTTGTCATCTCTGGTACTGTCTGGATCAAATCCCTTTCAGTCAAAAAGATGACAAGCAGTCCAGGAGTTGTGCATGTGGTGGAGAAAGGTGCTATATCTGCTTTTGGGAAGAACTTGCCATTGCATGCGTGTATTTGAACAGGATATACAAGACATAGGCAAATTCAGCAGCTTCAATTATGAAATTATTATTCAAAATCAAAATAAAGTACATAGAGAATTAAAATGGAAAACAATTTTATATACTCTTCACATGATGGTGAGGCTGCGCCTCCCCTGACCACACACACACTGTACAGGCTATACTCACAACTTCACACACACACACACACACACACACACACACACACACACACACACACACACACACACACACACACCGGGAGAACGTGTTATGTCAGTCATCAGGTTCGATGACGCACTGCTCCACGATGTCCCTGAGGTTTGGATTCTCCATGGCTGCTGCCACTCGTTCCTTGTCGTTGATCTGCTTGTTGACTGGATGCATACATAGAAACATTACACACATTAGAAAGGGGATGTCAAACTCATTTTCGCCGAGGGCTGCCTCAGCATAGCAGTGTCATATCACATTACTTCATCAATAAACGATCGAACTATACAAGTGAGTTAAATTCAATGATCTAATGAGATAAATTAATTTAAAATATTTGTTGCAAAACGAATTCACATTTGAATTCACCAATTATAGGGAAAAAAGGTACAAATAATACAAGAACTACTCAAGGACACTTGATAACAAAATGCTTGGCGGGCTGGCTCAAAGAATGGACTACTCCACCCCCGCCCTCCCATCCCATTTTTGTGGAAGGTTGATACACACATCCACGACGTACAGTATACGGCATGCAGTTAATGTAAAGTGACTTACTGTCCTCTTCAGTGGAGTGTGTTCCTTCACTGATGTAAATCTCCAGCTGACAAGAAACAAATTTGACTCACCATACAGGGATTTTTACATACAGTTCCTTGTTTATTGTGGAGGTTACATTCCTGAACCCCCAACAACAAACAACAATCTGTGATGTAGCAACCATAATGTATATTATTTTTTAATGCATATTTTAAAGCTGTATGCATAATACTAATACAAAATATGTATGTGAGGTCCAGGTGTTATGTTTGTCCACTTGGGTTGCCATCCTCACTTTCTTCTCTGTCGCATCTGTGACTTTGAATGTGTGTGGCTTTAAAAGGTGGGGCCAGGTCTGTTGAGTCACGAATCGGTTCATGACAGTGTAGAGTTAGCTGACTAACTGTTAGCCAAGGTGCGTGTTCGGTGACTGCCATCAGTTGTGGCCGTGCATTTAGTGTATCAATGTGTTTGTTACGAGTTGATTTTGTTCAATAAAGTGATTGAAAGTGCACCGATGGCTGTTTCTTCTTGACCATCGATGGAAGCAAAACAATTTGTTCTTCAGTGGTACGCTATATTAAATTACAAAGTGTAATGGCGCCTCACATGCAGACGCAATATGTGTATTGCAAAGATGAGCATTAAATTCATCTGGAATTGTATGCTTTTATCTGACTTTGACCAATCAGATGCAACCTTATATGCGCATCACCATCCAATGGGAGAACAGTAAGTAGGGGCATTACTAAAACTAAATAACTTCATGAGAAAATAATACATTGAGGCTTATTTTTCCCCATGAAAAAAAATCCTTCTTTATGGCCAAAATAAAGTAGCCATTTCTTTAGTTACATAATATCGCTGAAATATTGATCTCAATATTCAAGACCCATAACACATGTTTTTCCATTTTGTGCAGCCTCGTAAGCCAGTTCTGCTCTGCTCTAGCCACTTGGAACTTCATTTTCTTTTCGTTAAGTGTGAAATGAATTTAGACTCTGACCCGCACCCATTGTTTGGTGACTCTACAGTAGCAGTCCGTGTGTAAAAATGTTCACCACAAAATACTGCAATACAGTGAAAATCAGTGTTATAAAATTAGATATGTGTAATCTACAAATCTGCAATACGGTGAGACAGCGAGAAGTGAACTGCAATATGATGAGGGACAACTAGCTAGAGTGTGATTCCCAACACAGCCAACTTGATGACGTCAAGTTGCTGTATTGTCATGCACTCACTTTGTGTTTGAAGGGCAGACACCTCTGCAGCTTGACTTGTAAACACAAACCTGTACACATGCAACAAACACACAAAATAGCAGTCAGGATGACGCAAAAGTGGAGGACAGGATGTGTCCAAGAGGAAGCAACTGACCGATGAGGGTGGCCAGGGAGCAGTGCGGAACGGTCGGGGAGAACTTGATGATGATAAGGTACTCATCGTGGCTCAGCTCCTGGACCTCCACGCATTTCTCTGTCACCACGTCCAGCTCCTCCAGCGTGTTGGGCTTCTCCGGGTCTCGAATGGTTCGGATCACATCTGATTCAAATCACAGTAATGGATTTTTTTTTTCTCAATTTGTATTTCTGTGTTAAACTGTTTGGCCCATTCAATAAACATCTGAGAATGCATAGGCGACTGTGGCTCACCGTGCTGACATGGCAGGACATTACAGTACCTTAATTGCTCCACGTTTTTCAGTATACTAGAGCGGCATGATAGCAGAAGCTCACAAAGCACAGCGAAAAATAAAATATTAACTCTAACTCTATGGCTCGAAATTACAATTTTGAAATGGGGGCACTCTTAAATTTACTGTATTCCTGGAAGAACGTGAATGTTTCTGAAAGCCTAAAAATACATGATTTAAATTAGACTACCATAGTTGAGTCAACCATCAGGCTAGTTTTAATTCTTTTTAAAGAATCATTCACGGTCCTTTGAAATTTATAGTGCAATGCCCTAAGGTCATCAAGTCAAAAGACTGCCTATCGGCGAGCGACGCCAACCACAGCAAACTCCATCCAGTCTTTTCCTCAACTTCCGTTCTTGTCAGAGACCTTAGACAAGGAAATCGTCGAATATAAGTGTTTTTTTTAAGGATCCGTTTGCTCCAAATTTTAAGACGATGATTACTTTATATTGATTCAAGTCACGTGTTCAAATGACCACCACATCACTGCTTGACTTTTACTTAAAACGAGCATTTTTTTTTATTGTTTCACGCATGTTCTGTCCAGAGTCACCCACCATAAACTTCCAAGGCTTTCTCTTCCATTCTTGTGCTCCTCGGAAGATTTCTGGCGTCAGAGTGCGGGCCGAGGTGGCGGTTAACAAGCACCGTTTGTGATGGTCATGATAACAGGCAAAAACATAAAATGCAAACGACCAAAGTGGTTTCGACTCAGCAGAAGGGGTGTTGAGAGAACGACAACATCAGGCAAGGTTGGTAAACTGCTCTGAGATCAGCTCTAATCGCAACAGCGGGCTGACATTTTGTTTCCGGCAAAAGCAATAGATGCCCGATCGATCGTGCAAGCTGAAATTAGAACAAAAAAATTCTCGATTTGACACATTAGCCGGCTCAAACATTCCCTCTTACTAACATATACACTATATTTTTGTTTTATTAAAATAACAATAATTGTTTTGTTGGCTGCGAGCAGTGTTAATTCAACACAAGCAAACTTTTTCTGTCTTATGAATTTATAACTAATTTGTCACCAAAAGTAATACTGGGGATAGTAAATACACGTGACTTGATTTTGTTTACTAACGTGACTAACACACAAACCACAGAATCGTAAATTGGAGTCCACTCATAAAATGACCATAAACCGGCATCGTTGATTGATTAAGTAGTTCTTTCCGTCTATCTTCTCATTGGTCAGACGCTTTCAGCTGATGGTTGTGACGTGTCACGTGACCGACAGTCCCGAACAGCTGTAATGTTTACAAAATGTCTCGTGTTTGTGGTTGCATTGGATGCTTTCTTGTGAGTAACTGCATGCTGTCTAAAAAGTAGACGTCGCCCTGGGGACGAGATGGTGGAGAGCTCTTTCGCCTCCGCCCTCGAGGTGGCTCTCCTGCCAAGCAAGCAGCACTGGCGGGAGGTGGGCGATGTCCGCAAGGCTCAGCTCGCACCCGGTGACGGCGTTTTGCTCGGCTGCCTGAAGCTCGACGGGACGCTGGTGTTATGGGACCCGGCCGACGAGGAGGCAGCTCGGGTGAAGCTGGACGGAAGCTACCAGGAGTGAGTCCACTTCGTTTACGTGGATCGCAATAATTACTAAAACGCAACTCGATTCACAAAAATTGATGTTTAAGTCCACCTCGGCGCCTGTTATCTCTCTTACTTGCACAGTTCTGCAAAAGAGGCAAGTCGTCTGATTCTGTTATGATTTTTGTGGAACACAACGTCCCAACTTTATTAGAATTGGGTTTGTAGTAATATAGACTAGGGCTGGACGATATGGGCAAAATTCCATATCTTTAATTATACGATAACGACACAAATATGCGTTTAGTGAAAAGCAGAACATAAATGTCGAAAAGTAGACCACGGGACATTTGGTCTGAATCATGCGAATTGTGTAGACCGCAATCCCTCGTTTTTCGCGGTAAAAACTTGAAACAGAAACCCCCCCACGAGAGGTGAAAACCGCGAGGTAGGAGTTACCCCCCACCCCCAGGCATTTTTCTGTATGCGTATGTCTTTCCCCAATACGGCTGCCGATATGGCTGTATTTTTCTTTCATTTTTGTTCAGGTTTTTTTTTTTAATGAATCCAGTATTTTGGCACAGAAACCGCAAACCATGAAGCATGAAGTGGCGAGGGATTACTCTAATGACATATTATTTCTTCCCCTAGCTTTACCTGGGAGGAGGCTGTGAATGGTTGCCCCAGAGAAGGCAGAGCCACGCGCCTGCTGGCCGTGGGCTCCAGCTGCGAGGTGAGGATGTTGGAGGTGGATGCTGAGAAGGGAACTGCGCTCTCTGTGCGCCTCATTGGCGAGTGTCCTGCACAGTGCCTCCTGCAGGAGCAGCATGCGTACTCAGGTTGGTCCAGGTTACTATCGAAGAAATTGAGTTCCACTGAAGACTGTTCATTCAACTAAACAGATCTGATTGACTGGATCGGACCTGAAAATGTAGATTTGGCATTCGATTTTAATGGCCAATTCTTTTCTGTATTTGAGTCACCGCCAATTCATGCACAGCTCTCGTACTCAATGTAGCAATGAAAAAACTTAGAGTAAACAGACCTTGTCGGTGTGTGAATGAAGTTCCAAAGTGGAGCATTCATGCGAATGCTTTAAGTGTTACCGAATGTGTCTTCAGGTGGGCGTAGCCCGCAGGTGGCACATGTGCTGTCGTTCACATCGGGTCACTGCCAAATGCTATTGGATGGCGTCTGGCTGCTGCGGCTGGAGTGGTCGCCTGCGCAGGAAGCAGCACGGGCTCTGAGCTGCACCCGCCTCGGCCCGGCGGACGGCGGCGCTTCGGCTGCGGTCCAGTGCTGCGTGCGTCAAGATGTCGCCTTCACCTTCAGCGAGAGCGGGCTGATCTGTATCCTCAGTGCACGTACATTGCTGAGAAATGGAATTAATTAGTTTTGAACCTTAACTGCGTCAGCCATGTACGATGTGACCAATGGCGTCCTCTTGGCCTCCGTGGACGTTCCCGCCTTTGTGAGCGCCGGTCTGACAGATGAGACACAGCCGGCTGCTTTGTGGTCACGATTGCGTCTCCTGGAGGTGTCGGCCGACATGAGCACGGCCGTCATCGTCACGCACAACAACGCCGCCGCCGCTATCGACCTCGACGACTACTTCAGGTTAATCTTCGTCATCATCATCCTCTTTCTTTGTCTCTTTCTTTCTCTACTTTTTAATGTTATGTGATTATCCATGCCTGTTATGTTTTCATATTTCATATTTTCACATATGTAGATTTAAGTTAAATGAAGTTATAGTCATGTTTTATTTTCTATTTCAGGTGTTATTTTATATGTTCATTTTTAATACATTATTATTTAATCATATTTGAATGTTATTTGTGTGTCTTGATTTACTTTTTGACAGATCTGGTATTTTTGATTACATTATTTTTATTCATTTCTGCTAATAATATGTCACTCACCATCATCAATTTCTTCCAGGAGGAACCCTGATCACCTGCTGTGTCAGGCCAAGCCCACCGGCCCACCCCTGCGACCTCAACGACCGATCGATGAGGACAAAGTGACAAGTGCCAGCTGCAGCCTGGCCGCGCTGGGACTCGACTTCAATGCCGACAGGTGACCTTCTGCTCTTATTGATTATTATAGTTCTGCACAGTAGCACAGTGGCCTAGTGGTCAGCACATCGGCCTCACAGTTGGAAGTTTCTGGGTACTGTTCTGTGCTCTTGCCTTCCTGTGTGGAGTTACCATGTTCGTTTCTGATCTGCATGATTGGTGACCAGTCTGTCCCATCTCTGGTCTAGGATGTACCCCAAAACCTGCCCAACCTCTGCTGGGGTAGACCCTGGCTCGCCCATGGCTCGAATGAGGATAAACACTTTTGAAAATGGATGTTTGATTTCTCACGTTCGATGTAGGTCTTGGAGCTTTCGTCTGGCATCCATGTACAACGCAGCCCAGGAGTCTTCCATGTCATCATCGTTCCGACCGCTCGCCACCTCCTGGTCTTTGTCACTCCCCCGCCACGGGTCCAGCCAAGCCGCTCCCCCGGCGCGCAGCAAGGTCCCTCTAGGGGGCGCCAACATCACCTTCGCCGTGCCGGAGTCGTCCGTCCCATCTCTGCTGTCCGTCTGTGACCTCTCTGCTATGTTGGTGTTTGCGTGTCCCGGAAACACGCAGACTACCGCTGTCCTGTGGGATTTTGTAACTGGGAATGTGAGCTACCACCAGGTGGAAGGCCCGGCAGCGACAGTGGAATTTTGTGGAAAGAAACATCACGCGGTGCTTCTCAAGAGTGAGTCTATCAAAATTAGCACTGCAACTAACAGTTATTTTTATAATCGAATTACCTGTGGATTATTTAGTCAATTGAACAGTAAATCTGATTGAAAAACATTTTTTTAAATCCCCCGTCCTCCAAAATTGACGCAATTAATTCACAAAAAATTGTGAATTAATTATTGTTTGTCACAGATTTGGTCCCTAACCTTTGTTAGAAAATCAGCCAAAATGTTGATTATTGTTTTCCAAAAGTAAAAGCAGATGTTGCAAATGTTTGCAAATGGCTTCTTTTGGGAGAAAAAAAAAACAAAAAACACAAATATGATCAGTCTGCTTCAATGGAGGACTACAGAAATCAGAGAATATTTACTGTTGTGTGCTAGACCCGAAGATGGACATCAAGGATGTGGAATAAAAGCTTTGGAATGTATGAATTCCGCTTTTCCGTTGTCTTCCGCAGAGTCGGGAATGTTCCAGGTTTTGTTCTCGATGTCACAACAGGAACTCCTGAGTAGTTTGATGATGTTTGGCAGTGCGGCAACCGTGGACGCGCTTTGTCACCTCAACACATGGGAGCGCTGTTCCATCCCCATCCACTCCCTGAAGGTAGAAGTCGGTGCTCGCGTCGTTCATCTTGCACGCTTGTCGCCCAATCTTGTGTGTTGTCGTTATTGTGTAGGCAGGAGTTAAGAACCGGCAACTGGATACGGTGGATTTCTACCTGAAGAGCAAAGAAGACATTCTGAAGACGCACAGCACAACCAGCTTCACACAACGTACGACCCAACTGTCAATGAGCCACACTTCTGACATAACGTATTTGCTCAAATGACCTTCAACTTATTGATAGCCAGCCATTTTTAAGAAAGAGTTCCCCATATTAATACAAGATATCCTATATTAGTCCCACAATGATCATGAAATTATGATAATATTGGCGGCCATTTTGGTCGCTCATTCAAGACCCACAGAATACTGCCACCCAAATAACCAATTTTTTTTTTTTAAAAGTCTGTTTTCCAACCCTCTGTAATTTGTGTGTTTCCAACCCGACAGGCGTCAAGACTTTGTGTCCCGCCTTGGACCTGCTGTGCGCTGCCATCCGGGAATCGAGCAACGACGCTCAGAGCCGTCAGTTCTCGGAACAGCTTCTCAACATCACGCTGAGCTTCGTCAACACGCAGATACGCTACATGCTAATGCACATGAGCTGTAAGACGCCCTGCGCGCACAGCTAGCCCGATGCTACATTCACATCAGCACTGAGTGTGTTGTGTGTGCTTTGTGCAGACGAGGATGAAGACGTGCGCTGCTGCGTGGACATTCTGAACGAATACCTGACGGGGCTCAGAACTTTCATGAAGAAATATCCGTGGCCTGCAGAGGGCACCAAAGACCACAAAGAACAAGCACCTGTGGTGGACGAGGAAGACGAGTGGGATGGACTTCCCACAGAGGTGACACCTCATTTGCTGTGGTTTTTTTTTTTTTAATCAACTGAGAAATGTGTATCACATTTGACATATACCCCTTTCACACTTTTTATACCCCTTAGAAATGCTTTTCGCTTTGGCATGTTGGACTTTCAGCCAGATTTATATCCATTTCATATGGATACATACACTTTCACATTAACTTATATGCCTTTCACACTGGCATGGAGGACTTTTACACGTTTTACTCTTTCACACTACTTATACCTCTTTCACACCCATATGTCCTGATAATGACCCCTTTTACATGCATTTATACCCCTTTCATATGGATCCATGCCCCTTTCACACTGACATAAACAGCTTTCACACTGACTTATACCCCTTTCACGCCGACATACCCTTTTCATACTGACATATCACTTTCACACCAACATATGCTCCTTTCATCCTGACTTATAACACTTTCACACCGGTATATGCCTCATTCACGTTGATTAATACCCTATGAATTTATACTCATTTCACACTAACTTATGCCCCTTTCACACCAACATATGCCCCTTTCACACTAATTAATACCACTTATTAATTAATACCAGATTTGTACCTCTTTCACACTGATTATGACTCTGTTCAAACTGACATATCCTGTCCACGCAGGTTTATACACCTTTCACATTGATCTTTTCCCTCTTTACAATTATTTATATTCCTCTCACACTGAGATGTACCCCCTTCTCATGGGGTTATAACCTTTTTCCATTTATCAATACGTGAACACATACCCATTTCACACTGACATAAGACTTTCACACTGCCCTTTTACAGGAAGTAGTCCGTGTGTCCATCCTGACCAATCAGATCCCCAGAGCCCAGGCGGTGTTTAGGCGGCGGGGTCTTCCAGAGGGGCGTCTTCCGGCCCTGAGGGCAACAGGCTTGCGTCTGGTCTTTTCCTGTCTGGAGGGACGAGACCTGCCGACCGCCATCGCTCTCCTCACCAACATGGTGGGTGTCTGAACAGGAAGTCTGTTTTGGGTCCGCCTCCAACGACGGTCATTTTGTTTTTTCAGGGTTTCAATGTGAAGAAGGAACTGCATCGCATCTGCATCTACACACACGACAGGGACCTCAGGGACTTTGTGGTCAGTTGTCTACTTATGCGTTATGTGCTAACATGAACCCCGTTCACACTTATTTGTACCCCTTCACGCTGAGTTTTACCTCTACACTGTCTGATACCTTTTTCAAAATTGACATGTCGCCATTTCATGCTGACTTATAGCCCTTTCACATTTTCATCCACCCGTTCACACTAACCTTCACACCTGTTACACTGGCTTGCATTCCTTTCACATTGACCTGTGTTCTTTCACACTAACTTGCAGCCCCTCAACACTGTCGTGTACCCCTTTCACACTTGTATCCTCTTTACAGAGTATTACACCCCTTTCAAACTCACTTATACTTCTTTTACAATGACTATTTACCCATTGACACTGCTTTGTACCCCCTGTATCGTTTCAAGTAATCCCTTTGACTTGTACACACTTTATAGTGACTCGTACCCGAGTCAGTCATCAAGCTTGACATTACGTGTTCATTTCGTGCTCATCTGTCATGTCATCATGTGGTCATTTTTTTTCTGATTCCCTCCCCATGGTAAGTACCTCAATTCATCTGCATCTGTGATTGGCCACTTCCTCAGGGGGAGGAGCTACGCAGACGGCATCATTTTTCCGAGGAGGAGCTACGCAGCTTGGCGTTCATGAAAGAAGTGGCACAACTGGCGTCCCTCCCGCCTCGCCAGTATGCAGACAGCACCTCGGATAGCAGGTGAACAATCTCACAATTGAGTGGTCGCCCGCTGCAGACACTGTGGTAATGTGACATCACCTGTCAATCATCAAGGCTGCTACAGCTGCTTCTGCACGAGGAGGCACTAGCAAGTGGAGATCTCCTGAAGATAGCCCTGGGTCAGGAAATGTGTGAGCAGGAAGAGGCGGGGCTTTGGCAGGAAGTGAGGCTGGATTGGGTGAAGAACTGGGAGCAGAGCAGCAGGACAGCCATCTTGTTGTCCAGACATCAGCGTGACGGTAGGTAAACATTTGTTGGATTGGCTGGAAAGTATTCCTAATGGGCCAGCACGGTGAACTCGTTAAAACGACTGACCCACAGTTTACAGGTTCAGGTTCGACACTGCGCTCCAGCTCTTCTCTCCGCGTGTTAGCTTAATTGAAGACTCTACACTGTCCAGAGTTACGAATGTCTTTTTGTCTGTATGTCCCCTGACATGGACTGGCAACCAGTCGATTGTTTGTGTAGAAACTGAATCTACATCCCTGATATGATGTTTAGAGTTGAGCTGGTGTGACAGTGCAGTGCTGTGGAGTCACATGACCTCATTCCACAACCACGTTGCCTTGGAGGCTTGGGTGGAGAGCATTGAAGCTTCTGATGCCACCCAGTGGCCAAAGTTGACAGCAGAAGTGGTCAACGGCAACACGCGGAGCAGCCGCTTCCTCAGGGAGAAAATCCTGGACATGCTCGCCAGGTGAGACACGTGTTTACCACTGTCATGCGGCCATACACGCTGTGTTGTTCGTGCTATTTGAAATATACTCCTTTTTTATTTGTTTCAATCTTTTCATGCAGTTTTTTTAATCCATTTCAAATTGACATATCGCCCCTCAACAGTAGCATATAGGCCTTCTGTACTCACTTCTGCTCCTTTCCTGCTAACTTGTACCGCTTTCACACTGACATATACCATTTCATATTGACTTCCACCTCTTATGCACTGACATTTTTGTACCAGTGTCACACTATCATATATTTATCTCGCAGGCAGGGCATATTCATCCCCGACGAGCTATCCGACTTGGATCAACTTTTGTGGCGTGTGGCTCAATGTAGCTGTCTAATGTCGTCGTCGCCACTGCCCATCCCTCGGCATCTCGGTTTGGACATCCACTCACGGGTCATCAATTGGTGTCTGGAGCGGCAACTGCAATTCCTCCTCTACGCCTACCTAGAGCACTACAGGTGCGCATGCCACATTTCAGACCTAATTGGCAGTTCATACTAGAAAACCCTCCAATCTGACTGAGTTCAAATAATTCTGAGGATTAGATTGTCACTAAAATTTCTCCACAGCAATGTAAATGACTAATCAGCAACTTGATTTCACTTCATACACTTACTAGGCATAGGGGACAATTACTTTTTCACTTTGGGCTAGAAACGTTTGGATTTTTTTTCCCCTTAATAAATCCGGATTGATACTTTTTTTTTTTTAACTTGAAAAGTTGATCTTTGCTCACAAAGGTTTAAGCACCCCTGATCTAAAACATTTCAAGTGTGTTGAATAAGGTGGGTAGGTACTGTATTTGTCATATAAGAGGAAGTAAAGCATGTTGTTTGTGGGCAGGTTGACTCCCAGGAACTGTCCTGTGCTGTCGAATGGAGGCCCGACTCACTCACAGCCCTGGTCAGATATGATGGTTAAAATGCAGGAAGTCACCAGTAACATAACAGGTGGGACCCCCACACAGACCGTGGTACCTCGAGCTATGAATTTAATTCCGTGACCATGGCCGTAACTTTAAATCTTGCCAGAGGCTCAGGCTGGTGCAGTCCTAATTTAGTCTGTTGCATGAATGAAGAAGCCTGCTCAGATGAGAGGCAAAATGTCATCAACCAGTTGTGATCAGTCATAGTCATTTGCCGCCTCACCACTGGGCTGAAGTGAAGCTTGTCAGCAAACAATAAATATGTAATAAACATTTTTAAAAATCTGAAAATTTTCAAGTCGGGCGTTTGCTAGCAGATCAAAAATTGGCTTGCACCTGTGTCAAATTTTAGGGGCAAAATGCGACCATTTTGTGGCAGTATGTAGCACAGAGAACCCTATAAAGACTCTTTCTCTTCTTCAACTTCCTGTTTATCCTTCAGACCCAACATTGGTCCACCAGGCCAGTCTGACGTGCGCTCAGCTTCTCTTACCAGGAAGTCCCCCATCCCTCGGCTCCCTTCTCCTGGAGGGTCACAGTCTCCTCGCCCTTGCCACTATCATGTTCGCCCCCGGGGGCATCGACCAGGTCAGCTTGGTGCCCGCGACCTCCTTTCACGATGACGCATATACATTTCACATTCTTTCACTTCTACTGTACTCTCACACTGACTATTACAATGACTTGTACACCTTTCATACTTATACCCTTTTCCAATTCTGTGTACTGCAATGAAAAGGTTTTTGTTTATTCTAATCTGCAACTTCACACTGATTTATTGTATCCCTTTCACACTAAGTGATACATACCCCTTTTACACCAACACAGACCCCTTTTCTGTCGCTTTAAATTTGACTTTTTGGACCACTTCCACACTGTCATATACCACTTTGGCCCTGACCTCAACCCCTTCGACAGAGTTGTGTTCTCCTTCCTGTTTGAGAGGTGGTGGCCCAGCGTGAAAGTCAGTCCCGGGCGGAGTTCTCCGTGGACCCACAGCTGATGAAGATGGCACTGACGGCGTATCCCAAACTGAAGGCGGCGCTGTTCCCGGCAGGAGCGCGAGGGCCCGGCCCCTTCACGGATGTATCTGTGTACCACCTTCTGCAGGTCGGTCAGGGAAATAAAGAAGTTTTATTATGTGCACACAAAATGCAAATTAATAATGTTGTTACGATATGCTGCAGACAAAACAAAATTGGGGTGCAGCTCCAAATTGATGTTTAAGGATACAAAATTGGAAAATAAATAAATAAAAACTATATTAAGACAAGACTAAATTATGCTTTGAATAAATAACTACGGTACAGTGGAATCATGCCTTAAAAAGGAAAATGTACAAGTAGAAGTTAAATCAGGCTTATATTTAAATGTAAAAAAAGAATACGGCCACACAGAATCACATCTCGGCCTTACTTTGAGTTTGTCAAGAGAAGCTATTGGTCATAGGAAAATTTGTATTTGTGGCCACAAATTGCCATTTTGTTTGCACATTATATCTATATTGTCATCAAAGAAAAAAAAAATCCCATGTTTGGGGTTCTTCACCTGTGTGTGTTCATTGCAGGCGCTGCATCCTCTCGACCCATGCCGACTGTTCGGCTGGCAGACGGGAAACTCACTAAACTCTGCCGGTGCGTTGACTGGTACGTACAGTTCCCAATCACACATCTACCAGCTGACTTTCTGTCTGCCTTCATTGTCGTAGAAACAACAGAGCTGCCTCACTTCTCCAGCCCGCATCTGGTGGACTCCTTCGCCCTGGTAGAGCGGCTGGACTTCCTGTATTATCTACAAAATGGCCGACCGTCCTTCGCCTTTGCCACCTTCCTGCTGCAGCAGATGATTGGCTGCCAAGACGTCGGCCAAACGTGAGAACTGAACCGCACGCGCGCACAGTCACTGAAGAGATCGGTCTTTGATCTGGTGTTTGTGTGTACGTACGTATTAGTTTGCAGCAGGCCCAGCAGCAGGTACACATTTTGGCGGTGCAGAGTTTCAATTTGCTGCCGGTGGTGTCGGCGGCAGTTTGTTTCTGCGAGCTTCTTGGCCTCAGTAGCCTTCAAATCAGGGTTGACGTTAAGGTCCTCAACATCATCTGGACCCACTGGAAACTCAACCACACGCGCTGTGGACACACACAGACTCTGCACACTCTGGGTAAATGCACTCACACACACACACACACACACACAAAATCAGCACATAGTATATAGACACACACACAGTACCCACATGTGCACACGCTCACACACACAGCGTGTATACATTTATACCATGTTGTCAGTGTCTAAAGGCGTCAAGATGGTGGAGGCGGAGCCAGGAGCAGCAGAGGAGCTGATTGACTTCCTGGAAGCTGCAGTGATTCATAGCCTGGAAGCCAAAAATGTCAACAGGTGAGCATCTTCATCACCGACATCATCATTTATTTGTCAAGGTCATCTTCATCATAATCATCGTCATCACGCTAGTTTTGTGTTACCAGGAGTTCGTGGGAGGCTGCTCAGGATTGGTCTTTGCCGGTGGAGTTTTGTCGTCTTCATGGTCTTCCTCTCAGCTGGGTTTATCCTGCCCACTGTGCGCGTGACGGGCATTTCCTCAACTTCCTGTTGTTCGTACAATTACATCACTTCACTTCACAGCAGGTGACCCAAAAATTGTTATACTTCTTGGCTCGTCAATGCCTACTTCAGTCTGTTCAAGTTTCAACATCCCATCTTGGCACAGTCTACTTCTTGTCTCATCACGAGTCTCCTTCCTGTGTGGCTAGGTGGGCTCCCTGCTCTTCCACTTTAGCCCCGCCCTCCAGGACCACCTTCATATGGCGTTTGGTGAGCTGCAGTTGTTCACTGGAGGGTCTTCGGTGGGCCCTCCGACCCCCCAAGACCTCTTCCGGGTATTGTTGCGGAGCCAGGAGGAGGCGCAGCCGAGCAGGTACCTGCTGCAGGAGGCATTGAAGCATCGCTGCCCCTCATTGGCCGTGTTCGCTGCCTGTCAACAGGTGACCTCAGCCCCGCCTCCCACACACCGCTCGTGTTAGCCACATCGCTCAATGTGCCCTGATTGACAGGAGGCGGAGCTTGTGTCCTGTCTGTGCGTGTGGCTTCTCACCGTCATCGATGACATCACCGCCCAGAAAGTCGCCGCCAGTCTGTCTGCCTCCCCCCAGCCACAGCCATGGACCCTGCACCACTTGTCAATCATCTGGAGGACCTTCCTGGGCCGGGGCTTGCTTGGACCCCAAACCCTTTTGCGGGGATTTCAGCTCTTCATGAGGGTGAACACCACCACTGTCTTACAGCCTTATCGTTGCTTAATTATGCGTTTGTGTATGTGCGTTTTTAAGTGCTTGTGTGTGTTCACGTATGAGTGCACTTGACTTTTGTCAATCGTGACTCTCTGCTTGCTATTTCTTTAGTGTCAGGTCTTTATGATCCTCTTGTTGTTTTTGTTGTTTCACCGGAAGGACTGCCCCCTATTGGACGTGCTCAGCATGTTCCTGCTCTGCTCCGACCACAAGAACTTCAACAAAGCCAAAATCAAACTCCAAAACTTCCACACCAGCATCACCAATGTAAGTAAACAACACATGGCATGCACACACGATAGAAGCATGCCCCACCTTCATCATCGTCATCCTTAGCACTCTTCATCACTCTCTATCTTCATTACGCTTTGTGTGTATCACATTTGGTCATCGCTTAGATCTTCATCACGCTTCATCCTCCTCACTCATCTTCACCACACCTCATGATTATATTCTTCTTTTTGTTCTGTTGTTCAGCTGAGCATCAGCGGCGAGACGCCGCCCGGTGGTGTGCCGCTGCAGTGGTTGTGTAGTGAGGCATGGTTTTTGCTCTTGCTCTTGTGTCAGCGTACGTGCTCACACTTTGAGCTGCGGCGCCTCCTGCAGGTCTTGGCGGACGGCGACATGATGAGCAAGGACAGCGGTGAGAGAACACACAACACCACATCACACAAACTATGGACATCGTGTGAGCTTCATTTTTGTGTCTGTAGGTCCAGATTTCAGGAAGCTGAGTCAGCTGAGTGAACTCCTGCAGGGTTCAGGAGTGTGCGTGTCTCCCAAGTTGTTGCAGTGTAATTCGTCTTCTGTCCAGCAGGAGGAGTTTCAGGCCATCGTAGATGCTCTGCAGGCAGGCGGTTACTACGCTAAAGCACGAAGCGTAGCTACGCTGGCACAACTTCCCGTGCAACGGCTGCTCATGTGTCAGGTGGTGACCACATGCTTACACTTCCCGTCTGCTCACGTTCCTACTTCCTGTCTTCATGGGGCTCTTTGGAAAGTGGGATCGCCTAATCTTGATGCCACCTTCCCTTAAAGTTTGTTGGTTGACTTGACATCATTCGGTCAAGGAAAGGTGAAAAGGTGCTTCCTTTTGAACACAGAAAAGGACAACACTGGTTTAAATGAATTTGACTCCACTTTTCCTCAATGATGTCATTGTACGACTATGTTTTTACATCCGCTTGCCATAATTCTACTTCCTTTTTAGTCATGTTTCTTCTTCCTCCCTTGCTATATTTCTATTTCCTGTTGCACGATGTTTGTACTTCCTATGTGTCTGTGTGTTGTTTTTATTAAACTCTTTTCTTGTCTGACCTTGAAGCTGAGCCATGAGTTGGAGCTTCAGCGTTCCAAGCGTCAGTGGTCCCGGCTGGAGACTCGTGTCTGCTTTTGGAGGAAGTGTCACCAGCACCTTGAGGACGAGCGCGTGGATCCCGACTCGGCTTCCCGCTTCTTCCTGTCTCAGGCAGACTCCGCGCCGTCCGATTCGTCGGCGGGCTCCGAGTTTCAGTCAGAGCTGCTGGCGCTAAGAGAAGGCTGCCTGCTGCTGGCCGTCGCCGCCCACTGGTTATCGTTGCGCCACCCGGCTCCCGTGGAGCAGATAGAAAGCCTGGAGAAGAAGCTGTGGATGGGTCGTATCCGACAGCATTCCCTGGTGGCTGCCATCCAGAGAGAGAGCGTCTTCAACCTCCTTCAGCCAGACGTCAACACGTACGACGTCCTTATGAAGGACTTCTCATTCTGCAACATTCCCGAGCTGCGCACGGACACGCTCCTCAGCCTAGAAGGACTTCCCGGTCCAGCCGAGGAGCATCTGGAAGTGGATCCGCTCCTTGAGCCGACGGAGAAGAAAACTCTAGCGCTGCTGCTGGATGCCGCCTTGGACGCAGGAAGCATCTACGAAGTCAGCCGCACCTGTCGATACTTCTCGCTCTATCATCCTGATCTTTGGCTGTTGCTGCGTTGCCGAGGCCTGGCCTCCGGAGAACTCGCAACCCAAACGCTGGACGAGCCTGACGAGCCACCCAGGAGGCTCCTACATGCCTGTGAGGAACACACTATCTGCGACTTTTTTCCGTTTGTCGTTGACCATCCGTAACTAGTTTTCATGAGTTCATGATCACAACTTGTTTCGGTTGTTGACAACCTGCAACAACTTTCATGAGTTGTTTACTGTCTGCAACTAGTTTTCATGTGGTCACAACCGTCTGAAACTAGTTTGATCATGGTCACGCTCTGCTAATGACCACCTGCAACTAGTTTTCATTAGTTGTTGACCACCCATAACTAGTTTTCAATCAGCCAACTACCTGAAGTAGTCATTCATATGTTGTTTCCCATAAAGAGGGAGTTTCAGGTGAGAAGATGCGTGAGGGTCAGTCGCTGACTTTTATCTTTTGACCATTGTCCAGTTTCATCCAGTTAGGATACATTGCTCACTGCGCTTGGCATGTTAGCATCATCGCTAAGTGATTCTTATCAAAATGCATGGTTGTTTTGTCAGCTCCGTCTGTGAGCAGCATGTCGTCCTTCGTCCTGCTTCCTCCTCTTCCTGAAGATGACATTGCCGTCCAGTTGCAGAAGATGGCTGAGCGGTGTTGCCATGGCAACAACTACTGCAAACAAGTCCTTAGCCTTTACCAGCTCTCGAAGGTAGATGCCAGTGGCATCCATCCGTCACGCAATCACTTGGATGTTGTTTAGTCTTGTACATGTGGAAATGTGTTTGAATGTCACCACCATGAAGCCACTTGCCTTGATATTTCATCTTGGCCCTGTATGTGTTGTGTCCGTGTGCGCTGTGTATGTGCGTTTATGCATGTTCGGTGATGCATATTTGTATGTGCGCATGTGTTGACAGGAGCTGCAGTGTCCCTTCAGTCAGATGAGCAGCGAGGATCCCGGCTGTGTTCTCGAGAGACTACTGCTGTGCGACCATCCCGAACGCTTCCGGAACGCTCAAATGTTCATCCGAGCTCAGAATTTCTCCGCCGATGTCGTAGCCGAGTTGGTGGCAACCACTCTGGTGCGCGCCACAAAAGCCCACGCGCACCAGATGCAAACTGGTAGGAGGGGAGCAAGGGACGGATGCATTGACTACACCCGCATGGCTCTCTGTACATACTTTTAACACGGTGTCTTTGAATGTGCGTGTTAAGAGAGGCAGGTGATCCGACCGTCTGAGGGTCGGGAGTCACTGATTCAGCTGATCACTTTGTGTGAGGATCCTAACCTGGTGGGACTCAAAGTTCTGGAGAAGCTGGAGACCGTACCACTCAGGGAGCTCAGCTGCAGTATGACAAACACATACAGTTCACAGTTAATACACAAATGCAAACAAAGTACATGCATAGATAGGAACACACACACACACACACACACGCACACACACACACACACACGCTACATATCTCCAAAAACATATCCTATACAGACCTAATGCACACACACGCTCATCTACATATCACACTGAACACATACACAATGGGAAACACAAGCACATCTATATGCTGTACTCACTGTTAACACTCGCCCGCACACGTACATCTGCGTAGCGTACACACACATCTTCACACCCATTACACACACTGCACGGGCACATGAACTTCTGTCCTCATTATTCATGTTTTATTGTTGTTTAGTCGTGGAGTTGCTCATTGTGGCCCATGACTGCTTCAGCGTGATGTGCAACATGGAAGGAATCGTCCGAGTGCTGCAAGCCGCCAGACACTTAAGCCACGCCTACTTGGCCCCTGGCGAGCACTACGGCCTCTTGGTGAGTCACTCTTCTTCTAAAAGCTGCACTTTTACTAACATCCTGCAGTTTTACACTTTGAACTAACATCAGAAGTTTGATTCTCCCACTTATATTTAGACATTGAACACACCACAGATGCTGGAGTTTCCAACAGTCTCTGTAGACCTTGAATTAACCAATGAAGTCTGATTCTTTGACTGCCGTTCAAGATGTTGAATGAACTGCAGACACTGAAGTAAGGAATGGTGCGTTCAGGTGCGGGTGCTGACTGGAATTGGCAGATACAACGAGATGACGTACGTGTTTGACTTGCTGCATCAGAACCACCGCTTTGAGATGCTGCTCAGGAAGAAAATGGACATGGACAGAGGACAGGTGGAACACACACACAGACAATCACTGACACTTAGGCACATACTTTCACTTACGCAGACACACACTCACGCTCTCACTTACTCCCCCTCACTCACATACACAAACACGCACTGGTGCTGATGTCTCACCTGGGCTCGGTCCCCGCAGAGCGCAAGCCTGAAGACGGCACTGTTGGACTACATCAAGCGCTGCCTGCCCGCCGACAGCGAGAAGCACAACATGGTGGCGCTGTGTTTCAGCATGAGGCGCGAGATCGGCGAGAACCATGAGATGGCCGCCAGGACGCAGCTCAAGATCATCCAGTCTCAGGCCTGGGGTGAGATGTTGACCATGATGAACCTGAGGGCACGTCGAATGTCAATTTCGGTTGACAGCAGAGGGCAGTGTTGGCAAAAATGGCAGCCCCATGTGATGGATGACAGTGGATGGATTAATCTGCTTAATTCTTATTCCTCAAATACAACATTAATCATACCGTGTTTAGACTAGTGGGGGCACATACAATGTACTCTTGCTAAGAGTGTTTTACATAAATAATGTGCACATGAATATGCGATGACTGTTCATTTGTCTGTCCTGCAGAGGGCGTGGTTGTGACTTGTGTGCTTTTTGTCGTCAGCAGTGTTGTCTCCGGAGCTCAAAAGTTCTCTGCTCAAAGTTTTGTCTCTGCTCAAGGATGCTGCAGAGAGCTTCTCCAAGGTCATCACAACTCGCCTTCGGCAACTTTCTGTCTGACTGACGGCCATGTTGACTATGTATTTGTGCATGACAGGACGCATGCGTGCATCAGGCGAGTCGCTGTGTGCGATTGGCCAAGCTGGTTACGCTTCAGCTGCACTTCCTCAATCAAGGCTCCGCCCTTCGCTTGGTTAACCTGCAGGCTGCTGACATGATGGACGCCGCCATGGCGCTGCCCAGGTGTTACCAGGTGGGTGAGCACCATCCTGATCTCAACGTGTCAAATGAAATGGGATGTTGATGAACACGTTAATGTCACACATTTGAGGTATTGGTGTTGTCAGAGGCATACGGTTACAGTCCGGACTGGGCGGAGCTTGTGTACCAGAAGGCGGTCCTTAATGGCGACTTCACTTACTTGGATGAGTTGAAGAAACTCCGCCCACTGACCTCTGGCCTCTTTGAGGACATTTTTAAGAAGTGAGTCACCACATCCTGAAATTTCACCCTAAAGCCGAATATCCCAAACTTTATGCCTTGGAATAATTTGACTTCCTGCCTTGTCAAGTTTCTGCTGCTTGCCTAGCTATGTTTTTACTTTCTGGTTCAGTCATGTTCCTTTTCCTGCCTTGCCATGTTTCTATTTCCTGTTTTAGTCATAGTTCTACTTCACTAGCGTACGTGGTGTTTCTGACGTCAATACTTGCTGACATTTCAGGCTGGATAGTGCCCCCAGTGGCGTAACGGCAAACATACGTCGCCTGCTGACGTACTGCGACGACATTTATCTGCGCTACCGCCTAGCATACCGACGACAACTCGACGATGTCACCAAGATGCTGCTGCAGGATGCAGCCGCCTCCAGCTACCTCAGCGATGCCATTGGCGCGCACTGACGCGTAAGACAGATACCACAAGGTCATCATGGCGTTCTGTGACAACATTTACAACTCAAATTCACTGGTATCTTAAATCAAAATTTCTTCACGGAAATGGACTGAAATGGCATTATGTTCAAGTTCCCCACAAAAAAATTGTAAAGTGTTTTTAATGAAGAAAAATAGCATTGTGCATTCTTGTACTTTATAAAGACATACAGTAGCAACATAATAAAAAAAGTAAGGGAATCAACTGTTTTTCTGTAATTGCGACTATTTTTTTATTCTACTTTCACTGAACTTAATCGTCTTTTTCTGTTTTCACCTGGCTTTCATTACTTCCATCAATGTGAGATAATAATTTAATTTCTTCCAGACCGTCACCATGCTCGTATCTCAAATCATCGTCCCCACTAAGATGACCACAAATGTAATTAATTTTAAAATTGCTTGCAATACAGAGCAAAAAAAATATCAAGCCATGTCTTCAAATATTAATATTAATATTTTGTAAGTTGAGCCACTTGAGTCAAGTCACCCCTATATGCAACAGCACTGATGACGTTAACATTGTACAGTATGTTCTAATATAGCCTCCTGACTACCAGGAAAAAAAATGTTGTCCAATCACATTTATTTTGACATTCCCCAATCTATGTGAAGTAATTGGACTCCTCCAAAAGAAATTTTTGAAATCCCACTACATTTTTTAAACAGGCTCAAATACACTTAAAACAACTCAAACAACACTTTAACGTGTTCATAAGAGTCTTATAATTAAAATGCCAACAGCATTTCAAGACAAAATGTGGTCGATAAAAAGTATTACTTTTCCTCTTCCCATAAAAAGTGCTTGCACTGAGGGAAGCCATTTTCTTACTTTTTCTAACCCCTACAAATTTGGTATCATTGGAAAGCACCGAATGTCCTCTTTAGAGTAACAAAAGGAGTTAATGCGATTGGAGGCACTGGGTGGGAGATATTTAGGTTCACAAATGTCCTCTACAGAGGACAAATTTGAACTACTGGTAGTCAGGAGGATACAGCGGAAATGACCAGAGTGGAAGCGGCTGAAGACACAGAAGGAGATTTGAAACAGGTCACACAACCAAGCTGCAGGTTCAGTGGGGGCAGCCCGACACACTAAACCACCTTCATTGCTGATCAGAAAGGTAAACGCTTAACTGTGTGTGCTCACTGCAGTTTATAACTTCAGGGCATACATTAAACGACTGCGCCGTGTTTGGCTTGAAGTCAATGGCGTCCTCAAATCAGGAAACTCTCCGGCTGCTTTGATGTGGAGTGCATTGACCACTTCATGAAACAGCAAATACACCAATAAATTTAGGAACTGCAGGCATAACATCTGACCTTTTTTTCCATTATCTGTCTTTTACTCTTTGTTTAATTATACAAAACAGAGAAAAATCATCAAAAATATGTTGGCAATTAAAACATGGCACAGGACACCCTGAAAACTGCCCTGGGAGAGTACAACATCAATTGTCACAGCGCGGTGAGATGACCCAGACGCAAACGCGGCAATGCAGAAATGAAGGGAGTATTTTCATAGGTGAGAGTCTTATGACTAGCCTCAAGGCTTAGCTCATTCAGAAGCTCCAAAAATTGTATTGCGGAGTAGACATCACTATAATGTTTGTTGGCATTTCAAAAATGTTAACAAGCTCTCCTCTGCCGCCTCTCATTTTGCCCGTGCAACGCTGTCACCGCTTTGCGTGCTGGGTTGTACCTGCCCTTCAGACATGCTATTCATATATGCAAAATTAGGCACCATGAAGCATCTTTGGTTAGATAAATCCCGCTTTATCCTCCTGACTACCAGGAAAAAAAATGTTGTCCAATCACATTTATTTTGACATTCCCCAATCTATGTGAAGTAATTGGACTCCTCCAGAATTTTTTTTGAAATCCCACTACATTTTTTAAACAGGCTCAAATACACTTAAAACAACTCAAACAACACTTTAACGTGTTCATAAGAGTCTTATAATTAAAATGCCAACAGCATTTCAAGACAAAATGTGGTCGATAAAAAGTATTACTTTTCCTCTTCCCATAAAAAGTGCTTGCACTGAGGGAAGCCATTTTCTTACTTTTTCTAACCCCTACAAATTTGGTATCATTGGAAAGCACCGAATGTCCTCTTTAGAGTAACAAAAGGAGTTAATGCGATTGGAGGCACTGGGTGGGAGATATTTAGGTTCACAAATGTCCTCTACAGAGGACAAATTTGAACTACTGGTAGTCAGGAGGATATGATGTCATCATAACAGTGCTACTATGAATGTGTCAAAAGCCATGAACTGTGATATAATTTGGCAGTAGTATATAATATGACATCATACATTATGATATAAAACAAACTGTCCCGAGCCAGTCATCTAAGACATCATGTGACATCAAGCAATATTGTGTTCACAACCATTTAACACACTTTTTTTGGTTTTAATAAAGTTGAAAATTGATCTAAATGCTGAGTCACTCCGAAGTCAGCTGTTGTCTTCTTTGGGCGTGTTGAAGCGTGCAAGAACCTCATCATCATCTCAGGTGTCAAATGTGTCAGGTTTCTCACCTGTCCTCTACTTCCTGGCAAAGACTCTGTGCTCTTGATAAGCGTCGAGATGGGAAGTGGAGCGTCCACCACCACCGAGGGATCCCGTCTGGGCCTGGTGGAGGATGAACAGCCCGACCTGGTCCAGACTCCCACTCCTGTGGCCCGGACCCCTACTCCTGTGGTCCGGACCCCAACCCCTGTGGTAGTAAGGACACCCACACCTGCAGTCCTGAGTGGAGAAACATTTCTGGTAGTAGACGTTTGATGTTTGAGTGCTGGAAGTGATGTCATCAACATGGTGGTGATGCAGTATTTGGTGTCCATGTTTGTATTAGGCGGATGATGGACATGAAGCTGTGGATGTTCTGTCTGTCACGAGTGACCAGGTTCACTCCAAAGAGGAAGACAAAGAACATGAGGCAACATCAAGTATTGTCAATCCACTCATGACAGTGAGCAGATTTGATTTTGAAGCCTTCGCCGGGGAAACTCACCTGGCTACTTCGCGACATGCTACAAAGCTACATGCTAAAGGCTAGATGCCACAAGATAATATGCTATGAGTTTACATGCTAAGGGGCTTCATGCAAGAGGCTAAATCTTATGAGGTTGCACACCAAAGGTTAAATCCTAAAATGCAGAGTGCGATGGCATCATTGATCATGCATTATAGCCGTTTCTCAATATGAAGAACGCAGGTACGGTTTCGAGAACATGCCAAGTACGGTCTTCCTGAGAACATACACAAGAACATTCTTCCTAAGAAGGCGAGTGAGTCTCTTTGTAAATTGAAACATGTATTTGTGAACACCCCTCCGCGCACCGATAACATGTTTCCACGATAGCCGCAAGAAATGCATCTTGGGATATTACACAAGCCAAGTCCTAACAAGTAACCAACTGATGCATCCTTGGTGTAAGCCAACTGATAAGAACAACATCCGGGTATTTCACGTGTTCTTGGTTTAGTCATACTTTCAATTGAAACAGGACTTGGGCCGCAACTGGTGACATTTCAGGAAATCACAGGTGTGTAAGGTTGGACATGCACACTTCGTGAGAAATGGCCATATCTTTTCCAAACAGGAAATGGCCGATGAGGATGATGAAGAGGAAGTGTCTGTGAACTTTGAGAATTTTCTTCATAACAACGGAACTTTGTACAGCTGCTTTGAGCATCATGGAAACAGGGTCTATGTGGACGACGCTCAGGTACGGGCACACAAAACGTGAGCTTGGTATAAGCGTGGTCACGCGGTCACTGATGTCTCATGTGACTCCAACACGGACTCTATTGAGCAGAAGCTGCAGCCTTTCCCCAAGGAATGGTATGACATGGGACGCTTCATCAGCCCCAACCAGGAGGTGTGTGTCATTGTGCTTCTATGACAAATGTGTTGGGCAACATTGGTACATGTGTTTGTTTCATTCCATGAAATCGTGACTGGATGGTATGATATACAATGACTTCTTGGCCATGTTGTTTGTTTCCTATGGTGTGAAAGTACTGATTTCGGTTGACATTGACATTAAGAATCAAATGTTCTTTACTGAAGGTAAATTCTTCAAAGTTTTTCATTCAAATCTGTTAGAGGTTCACTGTATGCTTTAAAAAATTAAAATTTATTAATTGATACGTAATTAAAATACAGCTAATCTAAATTCATTATGGCAGCGTATCAATGAATAAGAATACTGCTTCCATGTGAAAATGTCAGAGAAGGTATTCAAATCTTCTAGATGTGGGCGTGGGGGTCATAGCTCTGCCTATGCCTTCTGTGTGTGACCAATCAACTTTCCGTCCTATTTTAAAACAGTGTACATCCTCCCCCTCAGGTCTCCGCCCAGCCACGAGTCACCAACGTCCAACCGGCGGCGGCAGTGGATGAGGATGACCGCACAGGCAGTATCTTCATCCCAGGAAAAGGAAGCGTGATGACGTACATGTTCGAGGTGAAGGCCTCCGTCGGGGCACACCAAGGTCCCATGTTTGAAATCAGAAACTCCTGTTGGCTTCTCAGAAGTTTCATGTTTCTCTCCATCCATTTTCCATCTTTTTTTTCCTCGTCCGGAGAATCTCTTCTTTGTCTGATTCCTCACCTTGGACCTAGATCCCCTGAAAACTTAGCACCAACGATTACTGGGACCCCCCCCCCCCCCCCCCCCCCCCTTACCTCCCTAAGGTGACAACTGTAGAAGAGGCCCATGTTTGTATTCCATGATCTAACTTGTGTTGTTTGTGCTTTTTCCAGGAGAGAGTGAACGTGTGCCGGTTCTGGGATCCTCATTCGGGTGTGTGGCTTCTGCTGCCTCTCCAGTGGGAGATGAATGTGGACTTTGTGCAGAGCAGAGTCCACAGAGTCATGGTAAGGTGGCACGAGCAATCCCGCTCCCTAGATCAGAGCTGGGCATGGGACAATGAGTGTCTACATGATCAAAAGTACTGGAATATTTGTTCCATTTACATAGCCTGTTTTCCCTGTTAAGTTGGTTAGTTGAAATTTTTTTGTTGTTGTTATTTTATTACCTGTTTTAAAATATCTATCACCAATGCTGTAGAAGGTTCTAGTGACTTATTACTGTGTTTTGGTTTTGTGTCCACAGTCAGTCCTGCCAGGCCTGTTGGACCAGAAGGAAATTACGGCAGCACTGCGACTTTGTAACTATGATAGCGAAGAAGTCATCTCTGCCTACCTGACAATGTTTGGAGAGGTCCTATTGCATGCGAATAATGATCGTAGCGGCGAAACAGGATACAGTGACCTCAACTCATTCAGGTTCGCCAGCATATATGCTGGTGTCAGCAGCATGCTATGCTAGTCTTGCATTTTGCCACAAATCAGAGCGTAGCGCTGACAGCATCAAACACGCATCTTAAAATAAGGCTGTGGATGGGGAATATCTTGCCTCTCTGAATATGTTGTGTTACTGTTGTCAGTAACACAATCATGCACGTTACAACTGTCCATGTTTATTGTGCCTTTCTCATCTCAGCCGCAGTTGGCTTTCCCTCCCTTTTACGTTCACGTCAGTATCTGCAGAGGTTTAAAAACGGAAACAACCCTGTTTTGACAAAGAACAGATATATTTTCTCATGTAGGAAGTAAAAAGTCAGAAAAATAAATGAGCACAGATAATTCAAAAACTGAATTTAGGTACGTAATGAAGTTTTTGTACTCTGTTACCTTCCACCACCGATGGTGACTATGAAGATACTGATGCTTGTGTGGTCCATTTAGAGCTCTTCTGGAGCGTGAACATGTGATTGACGATCTGAGGCAGCAGCTCGAGTCCAAACAGAGAGAGGCGGATGAGCATCTACACAGGAACGAGCTCCTGGTTCGGGAGACTCGCCATCTTGGCGACATAGTTCAAAACCTCCACCGCAAAACGGCTGAGCTGGAGGCCGACCGGCAGGAGGCCAGAGAGAAGATCCGGTTTCTGCAGAGTCACCAGACGTCCGGGGTGACATCAGCCACGAACACCACCACCTCCAAGCCTGCTGGAGATCCAGATCGATTGCGCCGGGCAGGCGAACTGGCCCGAGAACTCAAGGTGTCCGCCAAACAGCTGAGGTCTTGGCTCGTCCTGACGCTGAGTGACTTGAAGAACGCCCTGACCCAGACGGAGGACGTCCTGAAGAAGATGGCCGAGGCTCAGCGGCGAGCAGATAGCGAGGCACAGACGATGCGCTCGCTCTACCAGAAGGAGGCGCTAGAGAGACGCACTTTGTACAACAAGCTCCTTGAGCTGCAAGGGAACGTCAGAGTGTTCTGCAGGTGCAGGAACATCACCAGACCAGGAACCACATCATGTCTAGACCAGTATGACCAACAGGAAGTCACACTAATACATAAGAACACCAGGAAGAAGTTTTTCTTTGACAAGGTCTACGGACCCATCAGCACACAGGTAGCACAACAGCGGCAACAGACAATTGACTAAATTATAGCAACACATTATTTGTACTAGTTACTTTTCACTACTGATGCTGAAGATCCTGGTGGTACATCCAGAGCTCTTCTGGAATGTAACGGTGTGATCGATAATGTGAGGTAGCACATTGAACCCAAACAGAAAAAAGCTAATGAATGTGTCCAATTGTTGTTCTGTAGGAGGAGGTTTTTGCCGGAATGGTGCCGCTTATCACTTCCTGTGCGGATGGATACAACGTATGCATTCTAGCATACGGGCAGACAGGCTCTGGAAAAACCTTCACGATGATGGGTACCAAGGACAAACCCGGAGTCAACGTCAGGTGGGTAGGACCCGACTCAGGCGGGGGTAGTAGCATGTTACTTTCCTGGAGGACAAGACCCAAGAACCGAGACAGCAAAAAAAAAAAAAAAAAAATCCTCTAATTGGTGTGGGAAATCTAAGATGATGAAACTCAACAGAGGGTTATATTGTACGGTAGATGTTTTCATATCACACTGTGACACTGTTAAATACCATAGATGGAGTTGACATGTTTTTAGGGATGGGAATTGATAAGAATTCAGCAATTCCAATTCCTAGGATAAAATTACTGGGAACGATTCCTACATGAGTCTCTTCTTCTGAGTCGGTCAGTCGGGTATGATGTTTGTTGTGAATGATTGAGTCGATTTACTTTACCGGTGTTCCATTGTCATGGTGCCGCTGTTGTCTGTGCTGCTGCTTCCAGGTCCATACGGGAACTTCTCCGCGTGTGTTCGCTCAAAGAGAAAGTGTCGTACGTTCTCAAGGTACAGACACCCCTCACATTATTTCACACAGATTCGGCTTTCATCTGCCTGAGCCTTTCACTCAGAAAATTAGATGATTAGATACGATCTGTAAAGGTTGAAAATTTGCAGAATGACTGAATCTCCCAGTTCTGTTAACACAGAACAGCACAAAACCTGCAGGTCAACTTGCCAGATTTCAGGATTTAAACATAGTTTTTTTTTTTTTTTTTTTAATAGTGAGGCTGTACTGTATTGGCACAAGCTAACATGTTATTCTAGTTAGTGTTTCCTATGGTCGCATTCAAGGACATTAACAGTAACTTTTTGGGGTTCGGGATGCACGCAGATTTCCATGTTGGAGATTTACAACGATACTCTGAACGACCTGCTAGCGAAAAATCCCACCGCTTCCTCCACTTTGGACATCCGCGTGCAGGGTAAGTTTGTGTCTGTGCCGGGACTGACCCACGTGGAGGTTCGGACCGAGGATGACATCATCAACGTCATGGACACTGGGGAGAAAAACAGGAAGATGGCTGCCACCAAGATGAACATACACAGGTGGGGATGACATTGACGATGGTGATAATAACGAAGAGGATGACCCTGACGAAGAAGAGGACTATGATGAAGATGGATTGGATTCTGAAGAGAACAAACCTTCTGTATTCTTGCATCTAGTTCTCGCTCTCACTTGCTGGTTGCGCTGGAGGTTTGTGGCAATGACTCATTGTCTGGAGAGAGTACACGAGGTACGTTGACCTTGGGCGACCTGGCCGGGTCCGAGCGTATCTCCCGGACGGAGGCCGAAGGCCCACGCCTGGTAGAGGCTGCCGCCATCAACAAGTCTCTGACCGCGCTGGGACAGGTCAGCACAAAGACATACAACTGATGATGTCACACGACTCGTGACATTGCACGCCAGCTCAATACCTGCCAACTCTACACATGAGACAAAAAGGCTGCAGAGTACTATTAGTAGTAAGGTCACTCTGTGTGTGTGTGTTTAGGTGTTTGCAGCTCTGAAGTCTAACGCGCTTCACGTGCCCTTCAGGAACTGTAAACTGACTCACCTTCTGCAGCCCAGCCTCAGCGGAGATGCCAAGGTCCCACTGTGGTGTCTCTTTTGAATTGTGATTTTGATCTCTGATCCCAAAGTTGTGATTCTCTCTTGACTTTTTAGCTCCTTTCTGATGTGAATGTAATCTTGTTGATCTCAGATAATTCCTTTGATCTCTCTGATTCCTTGCCTGAAAGCTGAATTTTTGCAGTGTTTGTGAGTTAAAAAAAAAAACTCCAGAGAATACATCTTATCCCAAACCCACTGATCTGCTGCGAGCCGTACCACTGCTTGTGCGGCCCAATCACAAAGCATCAATTGTGTTTGGGGGCGGGACGTGCGGCTATGACGAAAACAAGTTGAGCCGAGGCTCTTTATCCGCCTATTTACATTACAACTGTCACTCAACACGATGATGCCATCTGTGCCGTCAAGATAACAGGACTCAGTTGTTCAAAACAAGGCGCATGGCAGCGACATCTTCAGCCACCGCCGTGATTGGTCAAGAAGGTTTGGTAGGCCTGCACAAGTTGCCGCATCCACCCAATCAGCTCCAAGTATTATAAGGAACGTCCCAAGCAGATCAAATTGGAGCCGTCCCAGAATGACACTGTGGCCTCTACTCTTTTGAGAGATTCATATATCAGTCTGGCTCTTGCCAAGTTATGTTCTACAATCGCATGCTAAAAAACACATTGACTTACTGAGACGCCCATGGCAGTGAATGAGTAATCTGAGCTACATTTCATCTTTGATATCCAGATCCAAACCCAAACTGTAATTCTTCTATCTGAGCTTGCAGATTCCTTTGATCCCGATTGGCATAAATCCAATATGAGGGTTGTGATTCCTTCTCTCCACCAATTGTTTCAGTCCAAGTGTTGTGATTCTGTTGATACAATTAGTGTGTTGATCCCAGCCTTGTGATTTCCACCCCAGTGTTGCGTTTTCGTCAACGTGAGCCCAGAAGCCAAGGATGAGGTGGAGACGCTCAGCACGCTCCAGTTTGGCTCGTCCATTCGTCACGTGGCACTGGGAAAAGCCACCAAGAACCTCACGCCGACCAAAGGCAACAAGACAAAATAGGCTAAGGGAAGAATAGGCATGTTCAAGTGTGACAAGAAACATGTCTGTTCACACATAGGACACATTTCAGTCGAGAAGGCCACCAACACACATGAATTTTCTGTTAGTTGCTTGAGGACATCCAGAATGTGCTGTGACTGCATTTATGGTATGAGTTTACATTACAGATAGAATCCTGAAGCATGCTGCTTTTCATTTATATAAATGACTGAAATTCCTAATTTTTAAATCATATCAATTGTAATTTGAAAACAAATCATGCTATCTAACTTGTCTGGATCAACACCACAGGGAGGACGCACACCAAAAAGGAAATGTTTTGAAATTCAATTTAAGTGTATGATTTATGAATAAATACATGTATACGTATGTTAAAGGAGAAGTATTATGTTTTGTTGTTAATTGTTTTTCAAATGTTCTTAGGTGTCTTAACATGTGTGCCTTTAGTCACATTACCTCAAAGACAAACCATTCTAGACATTTTTACTACAGATTTTTTATTCGTTTTTGCTGTGGTGAAATTGGCCAGTTTTAGGAACAAATCTGACCCGGGGACAGAACGTCCCTTCAAAACTGATTCAAAGACAAGGCAAAAAAACCCAAATAAAAATAGAATAAAATCTGTGAGGGAGGCCGCCAAAATGTCACAATTCTGAAAATATTTGATAACCGCAGTCCAAGTATCGACAGTGAAGGTATTGGCAGCATGATGTTTTGGGGCTGTTTCTCTTCAATCAGAATTATAATTTTGAGCTTCTTTGAGGAAAAACCCATATCACCCCCACAAAATCCAAAATATTGTGCCCATCGCTTTTATATTCTCACAAGTCTATGTGGACATGAGTAGACGTCCGAACCTCCGTGCTGGCACTTGATGCTTTGTTGACATAGTCATGACCATGGCCAGACAAGAGTCAGTGTTAAGAGTGCGTCCATCTTCCCAGCTCGAATTGAGCATTTTTCCACAGCCAAACTACAGGCACAATATTGTGAGTGCACCCTCGGCATAGATTTCGTCCTCTGGCTGGAGCCTTTTTATACGCTTAAGTGTCCTTCAGTGACTTGACAGGCTCTATATAAATCTAATTTACTTCTCAAGAAAAATTAACGGAAGAGAAACTGAAGTTAGTGCAGGCTGTTCATTTCCTCATTCACTTAGAAGTGAGCGCATGGACAAGCTTATCGCTGTGATCATTTCAGTAGATTAAGTAGGCATTAGTAGAGATGTCCATATAAATTGATTGCAGTTTTGGGACATTTGAAGTGATGTACCATACGTTCGGTGATTAATATATACGAATTGTGTCCAGTTCTGTGTCACATCATGGTATGGGGAAAGGGAGTGGGGTATATTCATATTACAGAAGAAAAAGAAGCGGCACAAGAATTGTTAGTTATTTACTGATTTCTCCAAAACAAATTTGACAATTGAAAATGCAAGCAAGTTGAATTTTCCTGACCAAAAGATAATTTTTTTAATGACAAATGGGCCAGACTGGAAAATAGTCCCTTTAATTTGTTCCGTGACTACAGTTGTAACTCAAAACTCTTACGTATCAAATAATCGTTCACCACTGAAATGAATCGAAATGTATTCGATCCGTTCCAGAACCCCAAACAACCCAAATTAGGTTTTTAAACTTGTTTTTTCAAAAGAAAAACTGCTCTCTACAACTTATAGACATGGTAAAGGCAAGCACAAAACACAAGTGTAAATGATGTATTCTTCTCTTCTCTGTAAATCATTATGCAGCGTCTAAGCTGTCAGGGTACAGTGATGTATACGTTCACTTGGGTTACTTCTAGCCAAAATTGGCCACCACCTGCCACAATGCAGCGCAGCGTTTACATTGCTTTGTGGAATGTGGCACCCATTTTTGGCTAAAAATTTACCTATTTGAAGCATGGTGTGAATGATGTTTATGAGGTAATGGTATGAGGAAAACGTTTTGAGTCTTCCACAGACATGGCAAGACTGTTTGTAAATGATTATTTTTCAGAATGATTCTTTAAAAAAAATTGTTCATAAACTAAATTGGCCGTAAACTGGATCAATCGTAAACCAAGGTTCCATTGGCTACAACTCCATGAAAAAGTATTTGCCCCTTTCAAATATTCTTATTTTTTTGTATTGTTACACCACTTTAATGTTCAAGCTCATCAAACAAATAGGAAGATTACACAGAGATAACCCAAGTAAAATAAATTGTTGATGATTTTATTTATGTAGGTAAAAAAAAAAAATTGGCACCCTTGTTAAATCATTATTACAGTGTCTATTCACATTTTTTTGGAAAACTGTTTTAATTTTCACTGACCACACCCAGGCCTGATTATTTCTAGAGCTGTTCAATCAAACAATCCCTTAAAGGGGAAGTCAACCCCAAAATTTCCTTGACAATCAGATGATCTATGTGCCTCCACTGGTCCAAAGACAGCATTTTGATCAATATTACGTTTGTAGAATATGAGTTAAGCAGCAAAATCCACCGGTTTTTAATCCACCTCAGGGCGGCCATGTTGCCACTTTCTGTCAACAGAAAATGACATCACAGTTGCTCTGGGCTCAGGTAAGGACCAATTATGGCTCACCCATTTGCTGAAGCTGAGCAAGTCTCATATCATGTTCAGTCTACAGAAAGTGGCAAAATGGCCACCCCCTGAGATGGACAAAAATGGGTGGATTTTACTGCTTAGCTCGTATTTCACAAATGTAATATTAGTCAGAATGCTGTGTTAATATCAGTGGGGCTAAATAAAACATAGTAAGAATTTTGGTGGGTTCACTTCCACTTTAGATCGAACCTGTCCAACAATATGAAGTCTGCCAAAAGGTCTCAAAAAGCTGAAGCAAAATACCACAATCCAAACAAACAAAGAAGCGCAGTGCATTTGCGTTCTCATCAATGACTGCATCACAACAATTGAAAACAAATTAGCAAGTCAACATCTGAATGACTTACAGTTTGAAGACAAAATTAATGTTTTGGAGTGGCTTAGTCAAAGTTCAGACTTGAATGTGACTGAAATGCTGTGGCATCATTTTTAGAAGGCCGTTCATGCTCGAAAACCTTCCTATGTGGCTGAATGAAAGCAGGAAGAGTGGGCCAGAAATATCTCTGCAGGTCAAGGTTGTAATAGTTAACAAAAATTAAATAACTAAAACTAAAATTTAAAACATTTTAATAAACAGAATAAAATCTCAATGAAAATGCTTATCAATAAAAACCCGCAAAACACCAGTTAGATGGTATGCCCTGCCTACTGCCTGAAGACAGCTAGGGTAGGCTTCAGCACGCTTGCAACCCTTGTGAGGATAAGTGTATTAGAAAATGGATGGATGAAAATGAACAAACTGTATCTTACTTTTCTAAAACTAACTACAATTATAGCAAAATTGTCCTTCAGTTTCGTCTTTGTCAATTATTATCAAACATACGGTATTATGTCATTTCGACAAACTAACGATTTAAATAAAGTTGTTAAATAAAGATGTTATGTGTTGTGTTTACTATTTTACTTTAACTTTTTTGTTAAGCGCTTTGTTACAGCTGCAGCTGTTGTGAAAGCACTATATAAATCAGGATGTATTGTATTGTATTGTAAGTTAACATCCTTCCCATTTCCATGTTCAACACCACTTATCCTGAACAGGGTCGTGGGGTTGGTTGAGCCAATCCCAGCTGAATTTGGCCGAAAGACCGACTACACCCTGAACTGGTCAGTTGCAGGGCACATAGAGACAAACAACCATTCACACCCACATCTACAGTGTCCCTGAATGGGAACCGATCTTACGCTGCCCGCACATCAGTCAGGCGAGCGTACCACTACGCCATCAGTGACTTCAAACAAAAGTTAACGTGGAATAAAAAACAAAAATCCAACACTATTAAAACCCTGCCACAGACATGTAAACGACTCATTGCCAACTATAGAAACAACTTGATTTTGGTTCTAAAAAAAAAAGTAAGAATTTAACAAGAGGGCAAATACTTTTTCACGGCACTGCATCGACCTAGTTAAACTAAATGATTAATATGTTATCAAGATTACAATAACGCGCCCATTCGTGTCATGTTCCAGACTTTGTTTTGTACTTCTTTGGTCACGTCTCAACAGGGTTCTCGAGTCTATTGTAGGACTTCTAGAACCTAAACATCATCTTGTACCATTCAAGTGTGTCACCTGCACCGTCGTTACGGAATACAGTATTCACATCATTAGGCTTTGGTGGAGGTCTCCTCGCAGCATAAAAACAAGTGTGTTCAGCATGTGGAGTCGCTGTCGGTGCTGCTGTACCCATTGACAAAGTGGTGCTCTTCTCCCGTGTCACCCACAAACACTTCACCTGAAAAACAAAGCAGCATCATATGGAGGAGGTACTCAGTTGAGATGGATGAAGGACACAAACAGGCACACACATTCTCAGCACTCTTAAATCACAATTAGCGCAAAAACTGACCGTCACATCATATTTTAACGGGAGTATTTGTAGCTGTACGGCCCTCTGCACACCGGGATAAATCATTGCAAACAGCCTCTCACATTATCTACCCTCCCTTTGTGGCAATGTGCTTTTTCCTTGACAGTCATGCTTTTGTGGTGCAATAAAAAGAATGCAGTACCTAAGATTGTAAGTATAGCCTGAAAATCCGATACACATACAATTCAATGGATAAAACGGCACGATGAACGTATGGCACTGTTGCCCCTTTGGTCATAAGCAAAACCATGCAAACATGAATGCGCTCATTTAGTTGTTTCTTAGCAGGAATTTAAGTCACAAGTCACCTTTTGGAAAAAAGTTGCTGGAAGGGGTCACAAAAGTACCGATTCTTCAACAGTGACTATGTTTTTATAATTAATATGCTGTTCGTGCAAGGAGTGCATCTTTGTGGGGACACAATTTCTAAGCAACTCCTCTTGCCGCCCCCAAAAATCTCATGCTGATCAAACTTGAATTGATAAAATCCATAAAGCCTGTTAAGGAGTGTTTTTAAGGATCTTACTAGGAGTTGACACAGTGTCGTCCTCCTCCAGATGTTCGTAGTTGTAATTCACAAAAATGTTCTGTGGGAACAAACATTATATACATAGATGCAGCTGAAGCCGAAATGTTGCCAGAATGAAAATGCAGGAAGTTGAAATCAATCAACACCTTGCTCCTAAGAAGCGTAGGCCAGTAGCCAGGCTCTTTTTTGACCAGCGTGAGGACGGGCTCGTTGTACTTTAGCTCCCAGCGGCAGTGCTCAGCCCACACGGCCGCGTGAAGATCCAGATCCACTCCGTAGCGGCAACCATTCACAATGCCACTGAAAACACACGCACGCGCATACACACACACATGGCAAATATGCCTATTTTCTGATTTTTAATCTACCAGTATGCATAGCTTTTGTGTTCAGGCCAAAGCTTTTATATAAACATTGCTTTTGCACCAAGTTTTAGCATTTTGAGGACAAGAAACAATGTTGAAACAATGAATCACTAAACACACACGCACGCGCATACACACACACATGGCAAATATGCCTATTTTCTGATTTTTAATCTACCAGTATGCATAGCTTTTGTGTTCAGGCCAAAGCTTTTATATAAACATTGCTTTTGCACCAAGTTTTAGCATTTTGAGGACAAGAAACAATGTTGAAAGGTGGGCAGTCATTTAATTTTATCAGGCTAGTTTTGTGCCATGGCTAAAAGGGTCTTTTCTGCCATCTATTGGCGTTTATTGGCAATTACAACCCTTTTTGGGTGAATTGGCTTTTTGAGCTGGTGTCAATTACTCAGTTAGGCTTTTCATTTCCCATAATATATTTGTGTTTATGCAGTTGTCATGTTCATCCTCAGTTTCTTAAAAAATGTTCAGAAAGATACTTCTAAAAAAACCCAAGAAAAACAGGAAAAAAAGAAGAAAAAAAATGGGTGGCTACAGCAGGAAATTGGGTCCCAGTGTGACAACAGTTGAAAACTTCTGTTTTATTCCACACTTGAGAAAAACTAAGGTTTACAATCAAGACAAACTAAATGTGACATCAAAAATTCTTAAGATGGCACATGAACAAAGTATGTTATGTGGTCAATTTAAAATTAACTTAAAAAAATGTCTTTAGCTCACTGCCAGCAACATGTATGACATTCATTTTGTATTTTACTGTTTGTCCTGTTCAATAAACCACGACTCTATCAAAATATGAAATGAAAATCAACCAAGCGACAGTGTGGAATAAAAAAACAAACAAACATTTTTTTTAAAACCCTAAGTTGGGCCACTCGTAAGTCAAGGTGCTACTGCACAAAAGCACAAAATACAGCAGGTTTGAATAATGATCTGAGCTCAAAGTCCAAATCCAATAATCCTGCAGACTGAGACAAAGTAAGCCTTGCTAAACATGTATCCACTGCCTCCAGTGAACAGAGCTCTGGCCAAAAGGCTCCAGTGGTCGCCGAATGCAGAGTGAAACGCGTAAGCAACGAGCTGAGGCAACGCCGTTCTGACAGACCTGTACACCGCGCGGTCGGTGTGGAAGTCGCAGCGCTGATTTTGTGGGTCCCTCAGCTTCAGTGTGATGCTCAGTGACGTGGATGTCTGATACCAGCGGACCTGAGGGTGCAGACTGACACACGCCGGCGTCAAAGTTCCACGCATTCAGTCTTAGTAACAAGTCTAGACACTGGCGCAGTGGTTCTCAAATAATGTGACAATCCCCCTCCCTCCACAAGTTTAATTCATCCATCCAATGACCAGGCTTCTAAGCCAATTTTCAACTATGACAAATTTCCAGACGCAAACCTCAATTTTACATAAAACCACTGTACTTTGTCATTTGTACGAGCATACCTCTTGGTCATGTGACCGTCTCCATGGCACAGCTCATTGTTGTTTTGATCTTCACCAGCAGTAACATCTGAACACATCACAAGCGAACATGAAACTATTATTTGAGCTGGATCATAAGCTTTGGTTTAGCCTGCTGCGAGATTCAAAATGTCAAGAAGGAAGACTTTTTACCATCTTTGTCGTTAAGATGAGCCATCTGGTTGGTTGTTATGTCAGGACCCGTTTCATTTCTGCTGCAAAGTGAAATACAATCCGGTTACTCCCTTTTTGAAAAACAAACAGGCGGTCATAGACCCCCAAAAGAATAAAGGCAACCTGATATCTGAAGAAGTTTGGACGTTTGTCTTCTTGTCTACTTCATGGAGAAGAGGAAGTGGCTTGAGTTCCGATGCATCAAACTCCTTGACTCCTTCATCAGATGTATTCCTCATGTGTAAACTGTTGCTCATCTGCAAGTACTCGGGCTTGACTGGAGGGTCACTGTTTTGATTCCCACTGCGGACAATAACAAAAAGTGGCACCTAATTGTTGGAGAAATGAGAGTCTGCTCGCCAGCTATTGTCGAGGTGCCCTAGAAAAAGGCATCGCCCCCGCAACCCCCACCACGACATCTGAAGTTGTACAGCACATAGGAAGATTTAAAATGAATACATAAAAAAATCTTTTATTTATAGGACTCCGACCCATTTCAAATTTCAAAATTCCAAACTTTTTTTTCAGACACTAATTTCCGGACTTCCAAGGTCCTAGATTTCTTCTTTTTGGGTGGTAGCCCTGTAACATGTTGTGGTGGGCTTGCCAAAACCATCACTGGCCCTGGATATTCATCATCTTCTAATACAATAAATGTTCATTACTATTTCATATTTAGCATTTTTATACTGTTTTATATAAGCCTTTAAAAAAAACATTTTTTTGTATTGTCATGGGTTACTTGTAGTATAAAATCTAACAGAATATTAGACATTTAACATTTTCTGGGCTTTACCGCTATATCTTGTTCAAGCCACTTCTTCTGGGAAGTATTAACCTGACACCCACAAAAAATGTGTGCAACACAGTAAAAATATCATGGATGACTGATTAATTGGAGTGGATGAAATTCAAAATATTGAATAAAATAGCAAGAACGTGTTGATGTTATTGTATAGATTTATTAAATTTGTACTGGCTCAGTCAGGCCATCATCAGTGAAGTTTGGGTGATCCGACACCGTGGTATAGTGGCCTTGGCCACCGTTTAATGTGGAACCCTGCTTGGATGGGAAGGTGCAAAATCATCCTGATTGCCTTCATGAGTGTACCAAGCCTAAACTGATCAGGTGTGAATGTGAATGATTGTTTGTCTTTGCGTGTACCTGTCCACCAGATCTGAATATACCACACCTGTTGCTCAAAGTCAGCTAAAATAAAATGACCTGAATGTGAATAAACATTGTAGAAAGATGGATTATGAGTCAAATAAAATAACAGAATTCTATTATCCCCTCTCCCACACACACACGCACACGTGATGTCGCCAATATCAGGCGCAGAGCAGTCCAGCAGGTTACTGGATCCCGATGTTCCTCAGGAGAGTTTGCTTTGCTTACCCACATACATGGTTGGTTGTTCCTTCCTGAGTGAGAAGCTTCAACTGGTCCAGATGATCTGGGTTTCGTTCTGCCATGCCCGTATTCAAAATGAGAGTGGGAGCGTTGTGCTCATTGATCACGGTCTTCATACCGGCCACCCGACTCTCCAGAACCTCCAAGAAGCACAACAATCAAGATGGTTTTCAATGTGTCCAAGTTCCATCTCGCCAGTCAGAACATACCATAAAATCCAGAAAGACTGTGTTTCCCAGACTGAGGACGGCTCTGGCTCGGTGCTTAACACCCTGTATCTTCTGGCTGATGAGTCTGGTCACCTGAAGGTGTTCAAATATGGTTCCCAAGATTTTTATTTTCTTTCCATTTTGGGTACAATAAGATTTTGGGTGCAGTGCAAATGACTCTGGTCCGAGAGGGCCACTATCCTGCCTGTTTTAGATGTTTCCCTTCTCCAACACACCTGATTCAAATGATCAGCTTGGCTAATTATCTGGCTACTTCTACTTTATTGCCATTGTGTTATACTACAACCAGCGATGAACAGTTTGGTTAGTTCTTTGGCCAAAATAGAGAGTAATAGGATGCTACAGGATGATTATTTGCTCATAAATGATGGCTTATTCCTGCATGTGCAAATTGTCCGATGTTATAATGTTAACAACTATTAGTGAGAAGCAAAATAGATTACGACTTGGAAGAATTCCCCTTGAGGAGTTTGGAGATACAACTCACAACTGTTGGGTACCTTGGGATGCCAGTCAGGCTCTGCGTCACCAGGCTTCACCTGGCACAGGATCATCTCCACAGCCTGGGCAGGCAAAGAGTGGAATTGCTCAGGCAGTCGCAGGATCTGGTGGGATTTGACTTCTTCCTCTTTTCCGACATCAATGAAACGAACGAGGACACTGAAAAATAGGCGGCCTTGGGTGTCGGGGACAGTCAGGACCTTCACCCTGTAGGAGCAGTAGGAACTATGCTTAGCAACACACTGACAAATCATAGAAAATACCCCCCCCCCGAATGATATAAATAAGTTATTCAAAAGGAAAGCTAAAAAGATGTGCTTTTAGCCTCCAATTAAAAACATCAAGTCTCTGCGGATCTGACGTCCTCTGGCCTCACCATGTGTTCTGGTCCTCACCCTAGGAATAATTACAAGGCCAGTGCCAGAGGACCTCAGGGATCCATGAGGGTTGATGGCCCAACACCATTAAGACATTTAAACACAAATAAAAGCATCTTAAAATCAATCCTGAAACACGTGGGGAGCCAATGCAGCGATTTAAAAACTCGTGTAATGTGTTGCCAACCTCTGGTCCTGGTCAGCATTTGTGCAGCTGAGTTCTGTAAGCTTGAAATACTATTTTTAGGAATACTGAGGAGCAGGGTATTACAATAATCTAAGCAACAGGGAATAAAAGATAAAAAAATTTTGTTACAGTTTTAATATGAGGAATAAAACTAAGCTCATGGTGCCCACGTTCTTCACACATTGTAAGGGTTTAAGATACTGTAGTGTTGGTAAAGGTTTCATCAGTATTACAAAGGTTTATCTTGTACGGTTTCTCTGTATTGAAATGTATTGCCTAGCGTGGGCCGGTCTAGAATCTCTCAATAAATGGAGGGACGCAAGACCTGTGGAAATTGTCGTTATCCTGCACAGCGTATAAGCCTCCTTGTAGCACCTCCTCAGGACAAGGCTTGCTGTCAGCATAGTAAGACGTCATGTCAGCCACCATGCTGTCAAAGACATTGTCCTCCTTCTGGATTATACGACCATAGAAGACAGACGCAGTCTTGATGTGGAGAGGCAACACCTGCACAAAAATCACAGGCATGTGCTGCACACAAATAAGAGCCAAGTGTACAGTAAATCCTTCGATATCTCGTTTTTTTTGCTATGCGTGGTTTTTCACTATTCGCGGCAAGGCTTGGTCTCTCATACTCTACTAAAGCAGACTATTGCTGTGGTCGGCCCGAGTGTCTTCTTTGAAAAACAAATGTTGCTTTCTGCACTTGATCAGATACATCACACTAGTCGTTTTATAGTCAAAAGTATGAACAGCCCGATATGACAAAATGATCCCATCTGATATGAAAGGTCATTCCACTGATTGACAAGATAATCTTCCCATCATGACAGTGCCATTCCCAGCATGCCTGGCTGTACTGACATATTAATACAGCCTAATGCACTAATTTTATGTTTTAGTCTTGAAACCAAGCATATAAAATGAACTATTAAGTCTGTCAAGTCTTCATGTCTCATCACGCCCAGTCCCAAGTCCAACTCCACGTCTTTTGAGTTGCTGTCAAACCAGAAGTCATCAAAACTTGAGTCCCCATCTCTGGTAGGTGGCGTTGTGGCATAGTAACCTCTATGAGTCCAGAAGCAGGAAGTTTGGACTGATCCAGTTGAAATATGAGCCTGTGGCGATCTGGACACATGGCACTGAACCTACACAGCAAAACACACATGCATATCCTACTCAAATTAAGTGGAGGCTATTTCATTTTGAGATGAAATTTCAGAATGAACGTTAAACATACATTGTTGTGCTGGGCAATACTGCGCTACACTTGCCGAAGATGCGGCATAATTAAGAGAGGCAGAAAAATTCCTTCAAAGCCGCCATAATTATATGCCCGTGAGTGATGTTGTACTAAAAGACTTTGAACATTTTGGTGTTTGAATGTAAATGTAATTATCTTTTGTTTGTGTGATACTGCCCCACGTGTGAGCAGTTTGAGGGTTTATACTTACCATATGCGGTTTATTCATGAATTTTTACTACTGAGCTTCAAGCCATCAATACAATTATCCAGTCTTGTCACCTCTGACCAATGAAATTAGCGAACACTTCACAGTGGGCGAATGAAGCTGCCCGAGCCCGCCCTCATACCAAATATTAATCCATTATTTTAGGGAGGAGTGTACACACGTAAGGGAGGAGTGGGCTGATTGAGAGTTAGAATGTTGAAGTTTGTGTACATAGCGGTAAGCAGCTGCGTAAGAAGCAATTGAGAGGAAAAATAAGCATTTTGAGTTGAATTTAATGCAGGTGGGTCTGCAAAGGTGGTTTAGTGGACGTCTGGAATTTCCTGACTCGAAGATTTGTACAAAGCCTCAGGATCTGTATTTTTCATCTTCATACTGTGTTGTCTGGTGTCTTTGAACCTGCACACTCCAAAGCTCTTCAGGTGGTGACAGAGTGGCCGCTTAGTCTTCTGCTCCTCTCGGGCCACATCGGCCGCCTCTGCGAAAGAGAGCAGCTCCGCAGGGAGCAGGGTGTGGCTTCGTCTGAGGTAGCGCACCAGCCCACCAGCGTGCTGTGCATTCTTCTCCGAGACCAGCAGCAAGGATCTGCAGACTTGATGGATTTTCGACAAAGGGTCTTGGGACGAAGGCTTGCAAGGAAAGCAGAGATGAAATTACAGCTAGATCCGGTCAAGAACTAAGACACCTGGTCCTGGCCTTACAGAATCTGTGAGTTTTCTGAAGTTGCTGCTCATACAAAAGAGTCGGCTTCCAAAGATTTTGGGTGAACTTGGGAAGCCAAAGTGGACCACACAGGTGGCATCTGTCAGCCCCCAACACGTCAGGCACTCTGTGGCAGTGACTAAAACAAAACAAAAGCAGCACAAGAATTCACGGCTTAGTGTAAGTATTAGTTTGATTTTTTATATATTTTTTTTTATTAAATAATGAATAATCAAATAAAATACAAGTGGGACAATGTTATTGTAGTTATATTGTGCCTTTTATCCTGGAAAATGTATATTTAGCGTCTCAACAAATATGATTATCTTCTCCAAAAATACAATTTATTGTGGAGGTAGGGGGAAATGGGATTATTACTGCAAGTGAGATCCTCTTTGGTTAACTGATGACACTTGTTGGTATACATTCTTGACCTGAGTATGCTCGAATGGACTGCACTTTGCCAATGATGATTACGCAGTGCAAGAAGAAACAACATTGATCTATCCACTCATACATGTCAAGACCGGAAATATTTTCTAGGTAAATTTTGTGGATAATCCAAATTGTTGGTAAAAAAGGGACATTCTTAACTAGAGGATTCACTCTATGCAGATTTAAAAAAAAAAAAATATATATATATATATATATATATATATATATATATTTTGTAAATTAATTTGCAGGTGTCTAAGCTATGGCTCGCAGACCGTTAAGATCTGCTGCTTTTTTGACTGCTAGTAAAAGCACTTGTGGACAGTTTGAGAAATGTGCAAAAAGGACCAGATTTATTTTCATGTAAATGAACATTTCTGAGCTGTATGAAATGGAATCATTATTTTGTGGAAGACTATATGTATTGAGGTTCCACCTGCTTTCCTTTTGTCTCAGACAAATTTTTCTCAGGAAGACAAATCTTATCCTTACCCGGAGGATGAGTGCCAAAGTGTGAGTGTGTGTTTTACCCAGAATGACTTGTGTTCCAGGGCCAACGCTTTCGGCCCACTGCTGGAGTACGGAGTCCAACGTGTGCATTAAATACTCGTGAATCTTCAGACACAATGCAGATTTACAGCTCACAGCCTTTTGGAAGAAAAGTTTTTCTAAAAATCATAAAGTCTCACTTTTACACAAAAGTCCGTTGTTTTTCGTTCACTTATAGAGAAAGTGAAGACAATCTCCTGATACTATACAAACAAGACAATTTCCTGAACCCAAACAAGTTTTGAAATGTTTGCCCACAGCATTATCAGAGGAAGGTGCCTCATAAATACTTTATATTTGTGGCTTAAAAGGACACACCTGAGGTCTAATGAGTCCAACGTGTGGATAATTCACTGCTTTCAACTGTATAAATGGGCGACGTGTTTGGCAATGCACAGCCAATCAGCGTCAACTTTTCAACACTGACTGTGCTTTTGTAAACTAGGTTTGTAGATGGAGTACAAGTCAGTGAGGATGCACTGTGAATTCAAGGAGTGGGCAACAAAGCTATTTGGATGAAAAAAAACATCCAGTCAAATGTAATCAATAAAATCAATTAATTGTGCAGTGATCCAACACTTGTTCAAAACACAGACTTGTCATTCAGACTCACTTTGTGGACATCTTCAACCTCCTCAGCAGAGTTGCAGATGATGATAGTCTTCTGGCCTGCGTCAGGGCTGAAATCCAACGCACTCAACAATGTGGAGATCTTGCCGCTCTCCAAGGTCATGAAGACCAGCTGTAACGACATGACATCATCATCATCATAATCCTAGCTAAAGGGTAAAAGTTCCTATGCAGTGACCTGCTGCACGTTTCCATACAGCGCCGCTTCTTTGGGAGCAGCTATAATGACACAAGCGTAGGGCATGTGCTCAGCCACCAAAGCCTCCATGTGACTCGTCCACCGCTTGGCCACAGCGACTAGCTGCTGTGGACATGAGGACATTTCCTGGCGGGAGATGACCTTCTGAAAATGCAGCAAAATGCTCTTCATCTAAGAGGAGGAGGAAGGAATGATGCTTTAGGTGTCATTATCAATGAAATATTTTCCAGGAGACCTACACATGTCATCAAATACCAAAAGCTGAGTAATACAGTTTCAATTCTTAAATGCAATTTATTGCCAGGTATACATTCTACAAAACCAATTCTATTTGAAACAGTATCAGTCAATTATGGGTTAGACACTCACCAACAACAGGGGATAGACCATAAAAACACTGTATGTATAATGTATATCTTTTTATATAGTTATATCCCTCCTACACTCTATAAATCTATTCAAATTTTTAATCGTGAGTAATCGCAAATTCATTCAATATTTTGTATCCCTTCTAGATAGCGTGGTTGTAACCATTTCTAATATCCAACATCAAAATAGCGCAGAATTTATATTTGATTTTATATTTTTGCATTTAACATGAAATATTTTGCAATGTTTTCGCTGATTTGTTGTGGTAATGTGATAATATGATAATACTTATGCTCGTGACAGGAAATGACCATATTTTTTCATCTCTTGGTACAATTTCGCAGAAACTTTACTACACCACCAAGGTGTAGTTACCTGTTCTGGAGCAAGCGTGAAGAGCTGGTCAGCCTCATCCAACACAATGTGGCTCAAACGCAGGAACAGAAAGCAGTGACATGACAGCAGACGGACCAAGCTGAAGGGGGTGGTCACTAGCAGCAGGCCTGAACAAGAGAACGGAAGAAAGCTCAGGTAAAGGGCCATCATCAGTGCCAAGGCACTTCCACATTGCAGGGTAGGGCGCTGGACAGGCCAGGGGCAAAGGCGGTCAAGCGCGTATTTTCCACTGGCTGCAAAGTGATCCACCTGGAAGCAGCCTGTTACAGTTGTTGGGACGTCATGGAAGCTGCAGCTACACAATATGTATTTGTTACCATTTCACACGCAAGCCCTGGGTTTGCGATGAGGAGAAGAAGGAGGAAGAGACGAACATGTTCTAGCAACTTACAATCTTTAGGAATCTTGACGCCTTTGGCCTCATCTTTGGCACCACCGATCAGCACGCAGGTTGGATTGAGGCGCCGGGTAACCTTGATATCCTCTAGAAGGTCACACACCAGCTGGACCTTCTCCCAGCCGGGACACAGCACCACTGCTACTGGCTACAAGTGCACACAACACGACCTGCTTATCTTAAATCTGCAAGGTGAAGTAATGTATGATATGTGTGATGTGCACTCACGCCAACTCTGGAAGAGGAGATGGTGAAGATAGTGCTGAGCAGTATGTGACTGAGGAAGGGTGCCAGGTAGCTTTGGGGCTGGTCGGCTGTGTGTGAGATGACCACGGTGTTGTTTCCTCGGCCCACAGAGGGCCAACTAAGAAGATCCGTGGGAGACAGGCAGCACTGCTCCCGCGCCATTGTCTAGAGACAGAGCAGAAACAAAAAAACTGCCCCCGAAAACATTTTGACTTTTTAAGACTTCTACGTCTCTAGGTGTTTTTTTTTTTTTTTAATTCTTGAAAACCTGATCTATGCATTGTTCCCATGCCTGGTTGCTACCGTTCACTCAGTTACTGGCTAGAAAAACGTGGTCGCAAAATGAGCGTTCAGGGTTCATACAAGGTCGAAAATGTCCGCCAGACTTTCTGCAACAGTTTTGTTTTGTTTTGTTCTGTTCTTGTCGCAAAGAAATTTTGAAAGTCCTCTTGCAACAAGAAAAGTACGGGCAAATGTCAGACGACCAGTTACGACCTTGAGGAACCCAGACGACAATGTAACATTCGCTCCTTCACACTCGCAAATATTCGCCGCTCTGCGATAGGATTTTAAGGGGCAATAATTTATTCACCTGCTTTCCAGTAATTACAATGCACTTACAACGTGCTTTACCTACACCAAGGGTGTCCGAACCTGGTCCTGGAGGGCCGCTATCCTGCCTGTTGTAGATATCGCCCTAGTCCAACACACCTGAAACTAATGATCTGGATCACTTTTAAGCAGAGCTTGCTGATGAGCTGATTGTTTGAATCAGGTGTGTTGGAGTTGGGAAAACACACAAGACAACGGCCCTCAAAGACCGAAGTCGAACATGCCTGATCTACACCATATAGTGCCCAAAGCTCTTTGCAAGATGGCTACGCACAAAGATATGAAAGATAGCTACTGTTTGACAACATTCATTAAAAATATGACAACTATATCATATTTGGTACAAATTGAAATTCATGTGTGGAAATTGGTTTGGGATTGTTTTGACCAATACCGGCCCCAGTTTCAAAGAATTGACATTTTCCATCAATAATGCAATCGTATTTGCATCTAAATTATCAGCTGTAGCTCTATGAACAATAATGGTAGGTAATTGCCTACCCTGCAAAGGGTCTCAGTGATGGGGGCATCATCCAGGCTTGAGCACAGCTCCATCGGGACAGCGGAGTGCACCAGAATCTCACCCGTCTTGGGAGCACTGGGAAGCATCTGATAAAAAAATAATCAGTATCACGTTTCTTATCTTGATAATGTCTTCTTCTAAAAAGGTAGAGTCACATGGACTTGAAGCAGATAACATGACTCAGGAAATAAAAGCAGGCTCACCGGATTATCTTCATCAACATCGTCATCTGACTGGACTTTCAAAGGCTGTGGATTCAACCACTCCGAAAGTCTCCAAGCAGCAACGAGAAATGAAAGGAGTCAGATTAAATACAGTGTGGCACTCTGCACTCACGGAGTCATGCAATGCTCTGGCTGTCAGTCAAATAAGGCTGTCAAATAAGGCTTATAACGATTATACAACATTTCAAAATGGAACACCTTGTGCACGCCGAGTTATCATCGGTCCTCTTCTTCACATCCGACTGGGCGGGAGACAGACTGAAATGCACACAACACTGTCAGGCTGATTTTTCACATCTTATATTACTGTATTTTCCATTTTAGATGAGATATTCTCAAATTGTGGTAGTCTGGAGACTCCCCTACATATGATTTTTATTTATTTAATAAAACACACACACACACACACACACACACACACACACACACACACGCACACAC